ATTAGACAGTCATGGCCACGGCCTGTTAAATTCCAATTCCTTAAAATAATAATAATAAAAAGGATTTTTGTGATTTGCAACTTCTGTAGGAATGTTTTGCAATTTTTTTAATGGTTTATTCATATTATAGGTGAACACAAAATAAAAATACAACAACGTGGTGGCGCCTTAAAGACTAACTTTTATAATTTTTAATGTGAGGTTTTGGGGACAAGGCCACTTCCTCAGACGCAAGAGGAGGTTCATTTATAGATTGCGATTTTGTGCGATCTTTGGCAGGCTTTGTTTGAGCGTCAATTTTTTAATGTGAGCTTTTGTGGACAAGGCCATTTCCCGAGACATAAGAGAAGGTCCTTTTATAGATTGCGATTTTGTGCGACCTTTGGCGGGCTTTGTTTGAGCGTCAATGTGTACATTTTTGGGACAACATTCAAGAGCATGACATGTCAGATAGCTGGTTTTTAGAAGCAATCTCTAAAGAGTTCCACAGAAACCATTCAGATGGACTGAGCAATCCTATTGGTACACAACGCCTGTGCTTACCTCGGACGACCAATCACAAGAAAGCAAACCAGCTTGCAAACAAACAGGAGGGGTGAAAAATTCCTTCAGTGACCATCAGAGGTTTTCAGCATGGAAGGAATTTTCTCATCTAAAGATGGGTCATCTGTAATGTGCAGTTCCACTAGCTTTTATTCTTATTTTTGCGCAGTCCAAGGGACCAGAAATTGGTTTTCAAAATCAATGGAAAGCCGAGGTGCCTGAAACGCAGAAAAAGCAACTTGATGTGTAGAATACATGTAAACTCTGGGTTTATGGCAGGAATCCAGGAATATCAATAAACTCGTACCTGTATTCTATATAAAAAAGAATTCACTTCAGCTTTGTTTTGATTTCTACATCACCTGCATTTGGATGTGTTTAGGCTTGTAAGTGATAGGTGTGTGTGCATTGGGGGGTTGTCTTCCTCTGCCTCCTGTTACTTACAATAAGCCATATTCCATTTTTTTTTTTTTAAAGCAGGTCTGGAGGAAAGGGCTGTAGGGAAGCAGAACAAAGAAAACAGTACAAAAAGGAAACCAGGAGAACTTAAAAGGAGGGGGAGAAAAAAAAACCTAGGGAGTCTCTTTGATGTTCCAGGATAAACAGGAAAAATGATGCTTCCGGAAAAGGAGGTCAAGAATCGCACCGCCGGTCAGCTGTAAGCTTATGTCATCGGCGACTTAGAGAAACTTTGTTTTTCTTGACTACACTTTTTTAGACTCCCACATCCTGGGAGAGGTAGTTTGAAAAAGTTAAATCCCCGTCCTCTGGTTGTTAACACCCGAGGGAGATGACGGCATGTCATTCTGCTTTCTCTTCCCAAATCGTACGGCTTTTAGGGGATCGTGGCCGGATCTGTCTTTTGTTCCATAGCACAGAGGTTCCCGACCATTGGTCCGTGGCCCGGTGCCGATCCATGGCCTGAGCCGGACCAGGTCACGGAGAGAGACCTTCCCACTCCCCACCCCTGAGCCGGACCAGGCCATGGAGAGAGACCTTCCCACTCCCCACCCTGGCACACATTCCCACCTGCACAGCCCATTTGTGCCTGCGCATGAGCACTCGCGCGCCCGCACAAGTGTGGCGCTGCCCTTCGCCCAGGCGCATGAGCCCTCTTTTCCTGTTGCTTTCAACTTTTCCTAGCGTTATGGTCTTTACCAGAGAATCCTGCTTTCTCAGGATGGGCCCAAAGTAGGACAGCCTCGGTTTCAGTATTTTTGCCTCCAGCGATAGTTTTGGGCTTGATTTAACTAGGGACCCCATTTGTTTGCCACTCTGGCAGTCTTTCTATCTGCAAAGCTCTCCTCCAGCACCACCTTTCACAAGCGGGGCTAGATCAGATCAACGCCACTCTTTCTAGAAGCAGAACTGAAGCTATTGCACTTGAGGCACATCCTGAGGAGTCAGGATCCTCTGGAAAAGACAATAATGCAAGGAAAACTGGAAGAAAGTGGGAAAAGAGGAAAACCAAATATGAGATGGATTGACTCTAGAGGAACCACAGCCTCGAGGTTTAGATAAGAATTCCAAACCAGATTCTATAAAACAGATCACGAGTGGTGCACTCGTTTAACGAGTGCACCGTTTAACAACGAATCCGCATAGTGACGTGTTTTTTGCGATCGCTAATGCGATGTTTTAGGTGGCAAAACATCGCATTGCGATGATAGGTAAGCGTTTCGCTTACCGATCTTCGCATTGCGATGTTAGGGAAACAGCTGATCGGCAGTTCCAAAATGGCCACCGGGTGCAGAAAATGGCCAACCACAGCGTTTTCACGCCCTGCCCTTGCTTACCGAGCCAGCGAAAATGGCGGCCGGATGGGGAATCTTTGCTTACCCGTGAGTTTAATGCGTTCCTATGGGGTTTTCCTTTCCGTATAGTGATGTTTCCGGATAGCGACGTTAATCCTGGAACGGGCTAACGTCTCTATGCGGGGCACCACTTGTATATTTTTTAAATTCTCAGTCTTTCTTGTATAACATTTCAAGATGTCAACGAAGACTGAGAACTTTTTGCTGGAAATCACAACGCATCTGTTCCAAATAAATAGACACCCCTCGCTCTGTACTTTTTCTTCTTTTGGGGAGCACAAAACTTTTTTTTTCAGTTATTTCCATTTGGTGTATTCACGTTTAATTTGTTCAGCTGCATCTGAGTATTTTAGCTCAACACCCTTTAGCTGTGTCTCTTTCTAATTCGTATTGTGAGATACCCTGAAGTTCTGCACTGGGAAGAAAACAAGACTGTAAGGGGGGGGGGAAGAAGAATTAAACCCGCACATCTACAGGCATCTGAGGGGGGCAAGAAATGTATTTACAGGAGCTTCTTGTAAGTGTCATGTTTCGGAAATTCTGATCAGAGCAGGCTTCCCAGCAATGAAGATGCAGCTACCCTGGAAAGTTTGAGAAAGTTTCCTTTCTTTAGGATTCTGGGGGGCAGCAGGAAAGCTTACTGGGAGTTGTAGTCCAAATTTTCCCAGCTGTGCTACTTACATTAGGAAACAGTGCTTGGTAGTAGGTACTTCCACCTCCATCGTTCTGGCAGAGAGAAAACTATAGGATTCCTTGGTTTCCTACTCCATCTGCCGGGAAGGAAGGACATTACTTCTTAACTTGATATTGCTCTGCAATATCCCATTTGTTTGTCTTCTAGGAATTAAAAGAGGAGGGCTAGTCTCTCCGTTTAGCAAGTGCAAAATATATTTACAGTGGTGCCTCGCTAGACAGTTACCCCGCATGACAGTTTTTTCGCTAGACATTGACTTTTTGCAATCGCTATAGCGATTCGCAAAACAGTGATTCCTATGGGGGAATTTTGCTGGACAATGTTTGGTCCCTGCTTCGCAAACCGATTTTCGCTAGACAACGATTTTGACAGCTCCCTCAGCGCTCGCAAAACAGGTGCTTTCGGGACCTAAGCTTTGCAAGATAGCGATTTAAACAGCTGATTGGCGTTTGCCAAGCGGCTTTCCTATGGCCGATCTTTGCTAGACAACGACAATTCTTCCTCATTGGAACGCATTAAACAGGTTTCAATGCATTCCAATGGGGAAAATGCTTTTCGCTAGACGATGATTTTGCTAAAGAGCGATTTCAGTGGAACGGATTATCATCGTCTAGTGAGGTACCACTGTATATGTTCTTTTCTCTTTCAGGGCCACAAGAGAAGAAACAGATTTAGAGGGCTATAAAAAGATAGTCAATGGCTAACTATTCAACAGAAGTGGACAGATCTACCTCTTATGGTGTGTGTGTGTGTGTGTGTGTGTGTGTGTGTGTGTGAGTGTGTGTGTGTGTGTGTGTGTGTGTGTGTGTCCATGAAACAAAACTTGCAGCAGTTGAATTCAGAGATTTTTATGCATGTTTTTAAAATGTGTTTTTATTCGTAGATTTCAATATTGTGATTTGTTGGTTTTTTTAAAAAAATGTTTTAAACTCTGATTATTGTGCAGTTTTAAATGACCATGAGCCACCTGGAGTCCCCCTACACAGGGAGAAGTGCGACAGAGAAATAAAATAAAATATGTTTCCCACATCTGAATTTTTTTTGATGAATTTTTTTTTTGATCACACATTGCCACTGGCCAAACTGGTTGGGGATGATGGGAGCTGGAGTTTAGCAACATCTGTAGGTTCCCCAAAGAGAGCGGGCAAAAGCGCCTTCGCAGGTCATTGGCCTGTATAACATTAATTGAAGTAATATTAGCTGTGGGTCCGATGGCAATTTTTATTTATATTTTAATTGCATTTTAATTGTTCTGAATTTTTTTATTGTATTTTAAATGTTGTAAGCCGCCCAGAGACCTTTGGGTAGTGTGGGCGGCATCTAAATTAAATAAATAATAAATAATAATAAATCCCAGCATCCACATCTGGGGATTCTGAGACTTGTAGTCCCAGAAAGTAACTTGGCCAGGATCTGAACCCAGTGTATCTAGAAAGGAATTCATCTCTTTTGTTGCAAAGGAACATATATGGATGGATGGATGTAGAAAACTGCGACGTTACTCTGACGTAATTTCTCTTGAAAATAAAGCTTCGAAAAACTCCGGAACCTTTCGGCCACTCTCGGTAACTTTCGGGTTGCCCCTGGAAACGCTTTTAATCCCTCCCCTCCCCGCTAGGTGGACTACAATCGGCTCCTTCCCTCCCCGCCCACAGGGTTTCCCCTTCGGAAATCTTCGACAAACTCCGGGGGAGAAAAAAAAGGCGCGAGAGAAGGCCGAGAAAGAGGCGAGCAGGAGGGGGGGGGAAAGAGAGAGAAGGTCACGAGGGACGAACCGACCAATCAGAGTGCAGCGCGCCTTTTTTCCCCCCTCCCCACGCCCACCGCGCGAGAGGCTGTCGAGTAGAAAGCATAAATAGTCCCGGCCTTCCAACGGCTTTCCTCTCGCGCCGCGGACGCTTACCAGGGGCTCGCGCGTGCGTGCAGTGAGAAAACCCTCGCGCCGCATTTTCCCAGTGCTTGCGCCGTCCACGTGCCTCGGAGGGATCCGCTCGCGCTTCCTCGTGAGGCGGCCTGAAGCCGTTAAGGCGGGGGCCGCCGGACTTGTTCCTCACTTCGGCGTCTGTGAGGCGTCGAGGGTGCGTGTGGAGCCGCGGATGCTCTGCTCTGGAAGGGGGGGAGGCCTGCGAGGCGCGGCGGCGTGACCGTGGAGAAGCGACCCGGAGGGGACGAAGGGGCCTCGCCTGGGTGAGGGAGGGCGGCTGGCCGGCTGACTGGCGACACCTCTTCGGGGTGGCGGCGGCGGCGGCGGCCTCCTTTTCGAAGCTTCTCCCCCCCAGGCCTGTCCCGTGCTTCTGAGCATGCGCAGAGCGCCTTTAATTTTTTTTCGGCCCTGAAATCAAGCTCTCTCCCCCCTCGAAGCCACGCACGGACTTTCCATGATTTTTAATATGGAAAATATATTAATTTTTGTGCACGCAGCGCTTTTAAAAGCTCCATCTGTGTATAAGTTTTAGCTAAATGCTTACTGTATTTTTGTTTTGCACATATTTTTCTCTTTAGAGGGGATGAACACGTGGAATCCCTACATCTGTGGCTGCTTTATTTATTTATTTAACTTACGTGGCGCCCACTCTACCCAAAGGTCTCTGGGCGGCTTACAACAATTTATTGCCTATTTATGCTGCCTTTTTTCTCAGGGAAGGGACTCGTTTTTGTATTTGGGATGATATTTAATTAGCTTCCTTTCCTGGTAATATTCTTGTACAGTACTTTAATCATTAATTATAATGATGATTTATCATTATCTTGTGCTGATACAGGTAGGAAATACCGGTATCTAATATAAGGCAAGGAAGTGTGGCTTTTAACAATAGGGCACAAAATAAGATCAAATAAGTAATTCCATGAGGATTTTTTTCCCCAGACCGTGGTTGTAAATAAGATGTTGCTACAAATACATTTTTATGCCTGTGTTTGTGAGTCAAGAGGACTAGTATCATGTTTTTAAAAGCTGATGTTTTGACTGCTTGCTAAAATAGTGGATTATTTGGTAGGGTTTTATAGCTTTTTTTAAAAAAATGCTGTGTTTTGTTGTTGCTCTTGCCAGACTTACAGAAATAAAACTATATTTAAATTAGAGCATGAAATAATTAAGAATACAAATAAGTATACCGTCGTTTTTAAGGAGCCAGTGTTTCTGCTCAGGTAAATGGATCTATAGGCGGGAGTGTATGTAAAGAAATAACATCTGTTGTGTATGTCTGTTTGCAGGTTAGTTCCTTTGAATTCAGTGGGCCTTTATAGGATCAGTTTGAGGTTAAGACCTTTTGTGCTCCAAACAAAAAAAAAAGGTGCAAGTTATTTGTGGGAGCTTCAAAGCCACAGGTCTCTTTCTTCAGCCACACGTTTGCAAAAACGAGGCTTAAGACTGTAAATTTCTAAATTCAGGTATGGATGACGATGGTGATAATAATAAAAATAATGTTTTTATTAAGCTATAGTGTTACTAAAGCGGATAACTGCATTCGTAAGATGAAACATTGCTTATTGCTATAATGTGTTTACTTAATTAGTTTGTGGTCTCCTTGATAGAGCTAAACCAGGGTGATTTAAATAAATTTGATTTTTTTTAAAAAAAATCATTGATTTTTATAATCCACCCTGTTGTTTAGTCATTTTACCGACCTTGGAAGGATAGAAGGCTGAGTCAGCTTTGAGCCACCTACCTGGGATTGAACCCCCTGGTTGTGAGCATAGTTTAGGCTGCAGTACTGCAGTTTTAACCTCTGCGCCACGAGTATCTGCTGACCCAAGAGAATTAAGAGCAGAAGTGACTTTGCAGGTTTACAGGAGAACTGTAACTTCTTGCTGCTGCTGACTAGTTGCTTTTGTGTGAACCAAGTAAAATTTATCAATTTCACCTATGGTTGTCACTAGGGCACAGGAATCCCATACTTGGGCAAACAAAGGGAGGGGGGGTCATCCCAAAAATCTATTGCACAGTTCAGTGGGGCTCACTTCTAAATGTCTTTCCGCCTTGGGCTCCTTTTCACAAGCTTCAGAGACCGCAGAGGGACTTCTAGCTGTGTCTTAATGGGACCAGAGGGTTTGTGAAAAGAAACCAAATGGGTTCTATATGGACTTTGCTGTTTTTGACAATTTCACGTGCTTTCCGTGGGTTCTGTAAAAGTTAGGCTACAAACATGAATTGTAGTTTTAGACGCGGTACCCATGTTCGTCTGTGCAAGCACATTGGGCAAAATCAAAGAAACCAACCAAACAAAAGACAAAAATGTGGCTCCTTAAAGTTTAAAATATAATAGATAATCTTTAAAATGGGACATGTTTTTGTCATTTTTTGTTAGGTTTCTTTGGATTTTGCCTAACAAATTGAGATGCTCTGGGTGATCTTAAGACAAGCAAACTTGAAGAAATACGATAGAAAAAGTTGTGTTTAAGGTGAAATTGTATTGCTTAAAATGAAGAGGCAAACTGCAGCCTTCTGTGTTTCTTAGTGCTCACTTTAGTCTAACACGTGGTCAAGTATGTAGCAATGTAAGAACTTGCATCTTTAAATGAAATTTCAGTATTTTACCTACTACAGTATAAAGAGCATTTCTAACATTAATGTGAAAGAGCAAATAATTTACTACCAACTAAATCATTTCAGCAAAACCGATTTTTAAAAATAGTGCTACATAGAAGGTGAGCTCATTTAGATTTGGAGATGCTATTGACATCCTTGGAACCAAATCTGCTAACATTCTGCTATGGGAGATTTTAGGGCAAGCCAAGTATCACAGAGTAACAGCAGACCCTGGTGTAATGGGTGGAGCAAGCCAGGGATCCTGTTCAAACCGCACAGTATAAACCAACTGCTTCTAAGTATCACAGAGTAACAGCAGACCCTGGTATAATGGGAGGAGCAAGCCAGGGGATCCTATTCAAACTGCAGAGTATAAATCAACTGCTTAGGTGTGTGCACTGCCATGCAGCTTGTGAATGACAGTCCAGGGATTTCTAGAATGTTGTCAGTCCTTTGGTTCTTAGTTTTCCAGGTGTTTTTGGCATTCAAAAGTGCTGTAGTTGGAATTGAGCCAAGGTGAATTGCTTTTAGTCTGCTGGATGCTTAATATTTCTTGGTTAACTTTTATCTCAGGGACGTTGGGGAAGTTAAAAGTCTTGTGGTTTTTGTCTCATAGATACTTGGTTATACCAGAAGCCATGTCTGGTCGAGCCAGAGCCAGAGCAAGGGGCAGAGCCCGTGCCCTGGAGACTGGTCCGCCTGCCGTGGGGGCAACTACTGTAAGTTTTAAAAGCTTTAGAGTTGAATGTGGCGTTGACTCATACTCAGTTTCTTCTTATGTTCCTCAGATTCATTTAATACTTTTCCACAGCTGGCTAGTTGGAGCAATATATTTAGACCAAACAGCTTTTAAGCTTCCTGTATAAATATTTGAGATATCAGAATTTAACCATCAGTAGCTGTCTTTTGCCCCAATTTAGTTTTGTTAAGTTGTATTTTGTTCCATCCCGCTAAATGATTTATTGAAGAGTAGTACAATACTTATCAGTTTTTTGCTCCCTGGCATACTTGTGCAGTTAAATCACATTTTCAAATTATACACCAGGTTGCTTTGTTCTGCTTTATTGCAGCTTAGAAACAACAAACATTTATTTCCCCCCCAAGACGTTTCTGATGGGTTCCAAAAGTAGTATGCTTGGTGAACTTGAAAATTACAGCTGCTGCAGGAAGATGCATGATAATTTGCAACATACTTCTCCATCATCACGTCCCTTTTTCATTACTTGTTTTAAAACTCTTAACATAATAGAAGCAATATTGCTAATGCTGCATTTGAATCTTGTGTCTAAAACTTGCAGTGGCATAAAGTAGCTGGGATTTTGTTCCAGCCTTGCATTTTTCACTTAATGATTCTGCAAGGCAAATTAATTTTTAAAGAGCCTTTTCTTTTGCTTGCAGGCCCCTGAATCTGAAAAAAATGTTTCTGCTGAGGCTTTATGATTTCTCCCATTTCCAGTGTTTTACCTGGCTGATCTTTACAAAATCTTCTAGGTTACACCAGCTGGTCATGGAGCTATGAAACCCCCAATACTTGAAGGAGAGCCGTCAGCAGGAGAGCCAGTGGGGCGTGGGCGTCAGAGAGGAGGGCCTGTGGCGCCAAGGCCAAAGGGTGAGGCAACACAGCCCCGTTGCTAAAAAGGCCAAATCCTTTCTATTTTCTGAAGTTATTGCAGCTAAGCGACTTTGCATTTATTGTTCAAGCATTTTCATTGTTTGTATTACAGAAGGAGAGTGTTGTTTTATGGAAGGAGGGTATTCGTATTGTTAAGTCTTGTCATACTCATGTGCCATCAAGTCAGTTTTGATTTAGGGTGACTTTCTTCAGGATTTTCCAGATAGAGAATACTAAGAAGTGGTTTCCTATTCCCTTCTTCTGGGGGGGGGTGCCCTGGGACTGTGCAGTTTGCCCAAGGCTACACAGGCTGGCTTTTCTCCCAGGAGGCTCAGTAGGGGAATTGAACTCCCAACCTCTGTCTCTGCAGCCAGAGACCTAAACCCCTGAGCTATCAGCGTAAGAGAAGGCCAATTCAGTGGTACATCTAGCTAGCTTGACGGAATTTGGGGCTTCTATTTAGCGGTGATGATAATCTGCTCATTTTTCTTTTGCTGCTGTATGATCAGGAAGTGTAAGTCACCCCTGTTTTCCCCCCCGCCAGCTGCAGAACTCCAGATTTCAGTGGGCATTCAGGAAATGACGCTGGGGGAGAGAGGCGGACGTCGCAGAGATTACCACGACCTTGGGGTCAATACTCGCCATTTGATGGAGCACGTGAAAGACTCCAAAACGGGTGTGTGAGCTTCCCTAAAAAAGAACTTAATCTGTAAAAAAAAAAAGCACCAATAAATAAGAATATTGCATCTCTTTCAAATTTAGCTGCTCCTGTTTCATTTCCAAACCACTGTTTAGATTTCCAGGTGCTCAGTGGGGAGGAGGCCCAGTGAGAACCAAGGGAGCTTATTGGCAGGGCAAGCCACCTTAAGGAACTGGGGAGAAGGCAGAGAGCTTGACTTAATCCTCTCATCCTCTCTTCTGATTGGGAGTCCTCAATTAGGTGTGGGAGGCATCCAATACAGGCTGGTACTCCCACATTTCTCCACAGTGGTGTTGGGGTCATTAGACATGGTGGTGCTAAACTTCATTCAGTTCTTCCCCAAGACTGACCTCTCAGGCTTTTTTCCACTTAGTTTTTGGTCACACATCATTTTCTCAGACAGATTTTTCTGCCCCCCTCCCTCCCCCGTTTTAAAAAGCATTGATTTCTCTTTAGCCTCGTTTCGTATTATTTTCTGTGGTGGAGAAAGATTTTCAAGTTTCTTTCTATCCCTATGGGCAAAGCAGCAAATAAAGCACCAGGTCCTTACAGGCGGTGCAGTTTCCCTCATGCTTCTCCAAACAAAGGGAATTTATGTGAATATTCTCAGTTAAAATGCTGTGGAGTCCCCTAGGCCAGGCCTTTGCTGATACAACATTTTCCTGTGTAAACAGAAAAGGCCAGAGCCACACTGCTTCTGTGGATATCAGTGGGGTGGAAACTAGTTTTTAATCTCAGATTTTCCTACCAAACGGAGCTCATCTTGGGTTGAGTATTTTTCTCAGGTAGTTGAAAGGTGTTTTGTTGACGATGGGTTTATTTTTTTTTTTAATTGGTTCTTTTCCTTTTGTGTTTGCATTACTGCATCTCACCAGGAGGTGGCGATATGTACCAGAGGATGTTGCTCTGGTAGAGGAGAGGGAGTCCACCCGTTGTTGGTGCCTCCATCAAACCCCTGTTGGAGGGAAACGTCAAAACACGTGCCCCCTGTTAATTCCATGAGTAATTCTAGTTGCAGGAATGCCTTCCCCATTCCAGCAGAGGTATTGAAATGCTGTCTATTAATATGCATCAGGTGTTTCGGGTTCTGTAATACGATTGACCACCAACCATTTTCGGCTGACATCACGCCCTCAGTGGGCCTTGTATCAGTACCACATAGACTACAGTCCACAAATGGAAGCCCGCCGTCTTCGGTCAGCTCTCCTTTTTCAGCATGAAGACCTCATTGGGAAGACACACGCCTTTGATGGGACCATCCTATTTTTGCCAAAGCGACTAGAACAAAAGGTACAAATTGTTTGTGTGCTAATTCTGCTGAAGCAGCCTGGCCGAAGATCTGCCCCAGTGATCCCTGGAATAGTTGAAGCGTTTGTGGATTGCTTTTGATTACCGTAGGCCTACAGTATCTGCGGGGGATCAGTTCCAAGACGTGCATGGTTGAGAGAGGGAGCACCTGGCCCAGTTTTGCAAAAGGACTGGTTTCTTGCCCTCCTCCTCGCAAGGGAGGCTTCTGTGAAACCGGAAACTACTGCTTCCCCTTTGCCCACCCCTGAACTTGCGGCTTCTCCATTTCACTGGAAACTACTTCCATTGGATATGCCATGAGTGCATTTTCATTAAGCCACCTGTATAGACCATAGTCTCTGGTTCCATCTAGAGGCCAGTCTTGGTAATACATCTTGGGAATGTCCATTTCTGGATTTTCTTTCTAGGGGGCAGTGGATCAGTGAGACCAGGTGTACTGATCCTGCAGACACTGTATTCAGAATTTCTAAAGGAGATGAGAATCTACCTTCCATACGTACCTGGGATGCATATCCCATCATCCCTCACTACTGGCTCATGGCAGCCATTTAGAAGCCAGTGTTCCAGAACTGTAATCTTAAGGCTATGTCCTTTCACCTACGTTCTGTGATTCAAGATGTTCGAGCCCTTAAGTGTTGTGGCATGTTGTCTCTCCAGGGGATTGGGCCCGTGCTCCTGCAACTTTAAACATCTTATGCTCATCAAATCTTTGTGCTTTTTAACAGTATAAATCCCATTAATTTTCTTAGGTCACTGAAGTTCTGAGCCAGAACCGTCAGGGACAGGTTGTGAAGATTACAATCACTTTAACTAACGAGCTACCACCTACTTCACCTACATGCTTGCAGTTCTACAACATTATTTTTAGAAGGTTAGCTTTTGAAATATAAAATTTATGTGAAATATATTAATGCTAGCAATGGGACTGCTGTGTTCTTGGCAACTAATGGTTTGTAAGTTTAACTTGTAAACCACCCAGAGTAGTGTGTGCACTAATGGGGTGGTATACAAATCAAATAAATGTGTTTTCGTTCTCTTTGGTTAAGAGCCAGAGTTGTTCCCCCCCCCCCAAAAAAAGTGTATTGAATTTTCTGGGTGCTTTACTTTAAAAAATCTTATGTCCAGGATGAAGAAGCGTGTCCTGCACCAACTTGGTATTGCTCTTAAATTATGAGGAGGGCCAGAAAAATAATTGTCTGTTGGAAGACCCTCCTGCCAGCTCTGTGGGGCTACAGAAAGGGGGGTTACTGAAGACTTCCATAAAGAATATGAAGCCCTCTTGGTTTTGGGGGGCGTCTCTGCTGATGTTTGGGTTTCCCTGGAAACCTATAGCAGAACTGTGATATGATTCGTCCACTGTGCTTATGCATTGGTAGCATGGTGTATTTATTGCACTGTTTTTCTTTCTTTCTTAGACTGTTGAGAATGTTGAGTTTGCAGCAAATTGGGCGCAATTACTACAACCCCAGTGACCCCATCAGCATTCCCAAACACAGGTAATAGAATAAGGTTCAACTTACTGTGGTATGCCTTGTAACATACGTTCAGGTTAAATGGCAAAAATATACTTTCTGTGTGTGAGATGCACAGTTTGGATAGCACCTGATTGTATACAGTAGGACTTCCCGTATCCGCAAGCGATAGCATCCAAGCGCCCCCACGGATGCTGAAAAACATGAATTATAGTGAACGGTATTTTAATGGCAAACATTGTACATACTGTGGCCTCTGGCTCCCTCTAGTAGCTAGTTCTGGTGATGATACCTAGAAATGTATTCCTCTAGTGCAGTGGAGGCAAACCTTTTTTGGCTGGAGTGCCCAAAATGAGGGGGTGGTGAAAAAAAAAAAACAGTGGCTGCTGTGGCGTGCCCAAAATGAGGGGGTGGTGAAAAAAAACAGTGGCTGCTGTGGCACCTGGAAGACCAGAACCAGAAGTGGCAGTTTCAGGGGGAATCATGGGGACTGACAGGAAGTTAAAAGGGGAATCATGGAGACAGATGGGAAGTTAAAGGGGGAATCATTGGGGCGGACAGGAAGTTAAAGGGGGAATCATTGGGGCGGATAGGAAGTTAAAGGGGGAATCATGGGGACGGGCAGGAAGTTAAAGGACCCAAAACAGGAAGAGAAAGGGAATCCCAGCTGCAGCCACTTCAAAAGGTTTACCGCATGCCAGCTGTGGCATGCGTGCCATAGGTTCGCCATCACTGCTCTAGTGAATACTGTGCATAACATGGTCCCTGGTTCCCTCTATTAGTCAGTTTTGGTAATGACAGAGTGGAAATAAATATTTCTAGGGTTTTGCTTTTAATATGTTTAATATTTTCAGACTGGACAAGTGAGTCAACAGATACTGATCCCCCGGATAAGGGGGTCCTGCTCTGTTTATATTTTAAGGAGCTTTGTCCTGAAGTGTGTTCCTTCAAAGCAGTGAGTGGTGGTGGCAATTCCAAACCCAAGCTGCTCTGGGCTCAGTTGTGCTGGCCTTTGGGGTTCAGTTCCTATGAGGGCTGAACTGGAAGCAAGTGCCCGCTCTGCACCTCAGCTTCTCGTCTTTATGTACGGAGGAGCTTTTGTCTTGGGAGGTGTGAATGTGTGTCTGACTTCGCACATTGTAACAAGCATCCTAAGGGCACATAGTAGCTTTGTTGATATAGTCACCCAGTTAGAGATGTTTGTGGAACCTCTCTTTATAAGGAGCAGTGACTAGAGATGGTAGAGCATTTCCCAAATGCATGGAGTGAGTTGTTTTTCACTTACCATTTCAGAGGAGTATTTCCGCAATCTGTGCTCTTAACAAGTGCATTAAAAATACAAGTGATGGTGTAAGTTTGCCTTCAATAACAAAGGTTTGTGTGTATGTTTCAGAAGAGTCCGGAACTGTTTAACAAATTGATGTTAACGGGAAGTAGACTTTTAGAGGGAATGATGAGTGGGATACTTTATTCTCAGTCTGCAGGAAGGAGCCATCAAGGAATGGGGGATCATCCCTTTCTTGGCCCACTTGAAGCAGAGGAGCAAACTTACCACCTCTTAACAGCTCTGCAACCTCCTTGAAACTTTTTTCTCCTCTTGCCTTTGTCCAGAAAAGGTATCACTTCTCGCTGTCTTCTCTTTCGGCGCCTTTCAAATTTCTCATTTTCTTCTTGTTTCTCCCGGGTGGAAAAAAAGAGAGAGGCCTTCACTCTTCCTGTACCTTCTTCCTTATATTTCCTTTGAGGGCTTCTTGCTGTTGTTTTCCTTTCCCTTTTGCCTCAGTGGGTGAATCTGTCCACGGTTCTCCTGAATCCTTATCCATCACACTTGCCCACCTGGTGTCTGATCTTAGTTCCATCGGGCGGGCGTAGCAGGTGCCTCATTCTCTGGGTCACCACACCAGCCCTGTGATCTTGCTTCCTGAGGTTTTGTGTGATGTGAAGTTGCCCAGTGGACAGGTGTAGACATGGGTAGTCTACGGGGGGGGGGGAACTGACTGGACCCCGCTCGATGAAACAAAGGCATCAGAAGAAGAAATTGATGACACTGCAGAACTGCTTGCACATCAGCGGCAAGAAAGCCATCACATAGAGAAGATGTGGATGAGCAGCAGCCCAGAAGCCGTACAGAAAAGACAAAGCCTGCCTTTCCCAGATGCTCCACCACCAAAAATCTCCAGAGGCTGCCTTTGCCAGCTCCTGAGGCAGGCTGAGGGCAGTGGCTGTTGTGTGGGGCCAGTTTGTGGCAACCATTTTGTATAACTGCATTATTTCCAGACTTGGGTTCTGCCAGCAATGTTTTGGGTGCCCTGCTTTAACGAAGATTTTTTTTAGTTAACAAGATTAAGGATGAGGTTTTAGGAGAGATTGAGATCCAGCCAGCTAGTGACTGGCTTTATCATTCCTATCGTGCCCCTCCTCTCTTTGCCTAGGCTAGGGAAGAGGCTGTGGGGCTCTTTTTAAGTTCACTCCTCCTGCCTGGACTGGACCAAGGAGGGGTTGAACCCATTCCTGGGGGTCTCCCCCTCTGCAGACCAGAATGGGCCTTCACGGAGGGAAGCCAGCGTCCCGTTTTGTGTGCAAGTTGCTTGCTGTAACGTTTCTTTTGGAGAGACACTCCCTTAAAAACAGCGGCTGATGATTGGAACATACACAGTGTGTTTCTCTACCCTTTAACAGGCTGATGATCTGGCCAGGGTTTACAACTTCCATTCTGCAGTATGAAACGAGCATTATGTTGTGTACAGACGTGAGCCACAAAGTGCTGAGAAGTGAAACTGTTCTGGACTTCATGTACTCTATGTACGAACAAATAGGAGAAGAGAGATTCAGAGAAACATGTGCTAAAGAACTGATTGGCCTGATTATTCTTACCAGGTAACTGCTTTGGTTTGCATTGTTCCTTCACAGTCTTGCTGGAGGCGATTGCTGTCTGATGTGAAGTGATGATTGAATCACACATAGATGGTGCAGACAGTTGCCCTCAGTAAAGGAGACCCTGGGTCTTGGGACTCCCCATAATAGTTTGAGCAGCTGGGGAGCTGCTTCCATGGTGGCATGTTCTGCATTCCGCCACTGTTTTTTTGAAACCTGCATACGGTGGTGCCTCGCTTGATGAGGATAATCCGAGCCATTGAAATCGCTGTCAAGCGAAATTAAAAAGCCCATTAGAATGCATTAGAAACAGGCTAATGCGTTCTAATGGGTGAAATATCTCATCGTAAAGCGAAGATCCTCCCTAGGGTGGCCATTTTCCGGTGCCTGTCTTACGAAAAATGCCTCCTAAAAACAGCGTGGGGGGGGGGCATTTTGAGAGCCGGCGGCCATTTTTAAAACCGCCAATCGGTTGTTGAAAAATATCGTTTAGCGAAAAATCGGTTCCCGAAGCAGGGAACCGATCATTGCTAAGTGAAAAAACCCCATTCAAATATAGTTTTGTGATCGCTTTTGCGATCACAAAAACATTGTGAAGCGGATTCATCGTTAAACGGTGTAATCATCAAGCGGGGCATGACTGTATTGTGTCTTGCGGCTTGATAGTTGGCTGATACAGAAGCATTTTGGTTAGTTCATAGTTTTGTGTTGAAATCGATAAGGATGTACCGGAGAGGAAGGCACTTTTAACGGGACGCTTTAAAAATTTGGGCAGGTATAACAACAAAACCTACCGGGTTGATGAAATTGATTGGGAATCCAGCCCCAAAGACACCTTCAAGAAAGCAGATGGCTCTGAGATCAGCTTCGTGGAGTACTACAAAATGGTGACTTCTGTTTTCTGTTCTAATTAGGCTTAGTAACCAGCAGGGTAGCTTTGATTTAGGTCCAAGTGGTTTTTAAAAAAATGGATTTTGGGGGATGACTTGAACTTATAAAATGGATTTTTTAAAATTTAAATTATGGTTAGAGATGGGCACAGACTGCCGGTTTATTTGTTTGCTTATTTATTTATTTGACTTGTATGCCACCCGCACTGTGCAAGAGTCTGTTTGGGGTTCGTAGTGCTTTCTTTACCACCAAACTCTTGTTGTGGCAGTAAAAGAGCTGCCAGGAACCCCCAAACCAGTGGGTTGTGCACATCTCTAACCATGATTTAAATCAATTTGATTTGGAAAAAAAACATTGATTTTTATGTACTCTGGTAACTACCAGTCAAAGAAATACCCTGGGAATTAAGACAGTGTCAACCACCACCACCACCACCCCGAAATAAGTTCATTATATATTATATGCACTGCCTTGTAGGCAAACTGAAATACTGTCCTGAGACTAAATGTGGATGATGGGTTGTTTTTGCAATCTCTCTGCTGGAGAGGCATGAACAAAAATTCACAGTATAATTCCAGAAAGTTTCTGCCTGTCCCGAGATTCATTCAATGGATTTGGGAAAAGTTTTATAGCCTTGTCCTATTGGCACTGACTGACGTCAATATTGCAGGGGTTGTGCCAGGATTGTGGATTCATCCTGGCTCCTTTTGAAGGCAAAGGCAGAGTTGATGCTCTGCTCCAGAGCCAAGGTCCCCTGAAGCCCTTATTTGTCTTTTATCAGCACAGAGAATTGCATTGCACTGCTTCAGCGTCTGCTGATGAACCAGAAGCAGGGGCAGTGCTGGGGGCAAGCCATGAACTTCCAAAAGTATCGGCAACACCGTATTCTGTTGTTCCCTCTCTGCTCCTGGTTCCTCTCTATGGTGGTGTTGTACGGAATGTTTTTCCTGTTTCTTGTGACCATTTATTTCCAGGTTTGGTATAATGCTAGGCTGGGCACTACATTAGCTTGCGTTCCACAGTAGCTGCTTTTTTGATGGCTCTGTTTTGAACACTGCTCTTATGTTAAGTCGATAAGCATGACCCTGCAGTCCATCCAGTAGTTGAGTAGCTGCTTGAAGCTTTTTCTTTTTAAAGAGCTAGGATAGTGCAAAGCCTTCTGGCCTCTGTTGCGTGAAGCTCTGTCAAACCCTTTGTAGTTTTAAGATTTTGTAAAATAGGTACTATGTGTGCTGTGAGAGACTTCTGGAAGGATATTGTGTGCTTTTTAATGCAGCAATATAGCCAGGACATCACTGATTTGAATCAGCCAGTGTTAATTAGTCTGCCGAGAAAGAAGAGAGGCCCGAAAGGTGTCATTCAAGGGCCGATAGTCCTTATTCCTGAACTCTGCTATCTGACAGGTATGTTGTGCAAGAATGGGAAAAGAGCAATTCTGTTTTAATTTATTGGGATTTGGAGTTCCTTTTGTAGCTGTCAGTACGGTCTCAAGTCACTCAATGACATGCTTCCCTAAAGAGTTCAGCGAAAACAGTTGTAAGCCTTGCACCTGTCATGGCTGGTGCTCCACTGAAGCATGTGGGGCAGAGCAGTGAACGGGGCAGAACTGTTGAGGCAGGTTTCCATATTCCACAGAATCCCTTGACACAACCTGTAAGAGGTCTGCAAATACTTAGTTGGCTAATTTGGTTGAGTACATGGCTTTTAAAGAAGATTAATCTTTAAATTAGAAATCAACCAACAGTTTAAAAATAGTTTAAAATTAGTTTAAAAGCTAAAAATCAGCCAGTGGCTGTTACAATCAGAGCTAATGTAGGAATAATAAAATTTGACAAAATAGTTTTTTAATAAATCTATTGACACTTCAAGGGAATTGGTGTGACATCATGAAGCTTATTTGTGTTTTATAATCTCAATCTGACACCTGGCTAGTTGACTTCACTTTAAAGTTCTAGGGGAAAAAATAGGTTACTGCAGGATGGTGTGTAATGAAGATTTAGTCACAGCCAATTTCAGAGAAGGTGGAATGATCGAACAGTGCTATGTATCAATTCTAAAAAAAACCAAAAAACCCCCACTCCTCCAGACATTTTCACCACCCTTCTAAGCTGGAGGGAAAAAGTGCATTGATTAGAAAATCTTCCTTTTGCAAATAAAACAGGCAAATTTCTATGCTTCTGGAAGCCCATCTGATGTGGACTCTTAGCAACCCACGCAGTTGGCAATAGCCATGAGGATCATTAGGTTGATGATGGTTAATGATGTGATGTTTGGAAGCTACTGTGGGCACAGTTCACTGTAGAAAAGCAGTGTTGTAAGTTGAAATAGATGTTGGGATGTTTGAATCCTATTCAATTTTATGTATAGTCTTTGAATAAGGTGTGTGAGGGTGTGGGGAACTGATTTTCTCAATAGTCTCCCTGAGTCTTGTCAGTGATGGGGTAACGGAATGACATTCATTCATTTTAACTTGGTGTCTGGCTTTCTAGGTGTAAAACCACTTCCCGTGTTTTGTAGGGCTAACTGATAAGATGCGGAGTGATTTCAATGTCATGAAAGATCTGTCTGTTCACACAAGACTTCCGCCAGAACAAAGAGTGCGTGAAGTTGGGAGGCTTATAGAGTACATTAACAAGTACGTGATGCGGGTCAGGGGCGTTCCTGTTGTGTTCATCAAGTTGGTTATAAGAATGATGGGAGGAGGTGGTCGATTGGATTACCAGCCTCGCCTAGAAGCTAACTGTCTTTTGTCTATGTCATGGAACAGAGATGATAACGTTCAGAAGGAACTTCGTGACTGGGGTTTAAGGTTTGAGCCCAATTTGCTTTCCTTCTCGGGACGAGTTGTTCAATCAGAAAGGATCCATCAAGGGGGGAAAACGGTAAGCAGCTAAGTGCGTTGACCTTCTGCAATAAGGAAAGGTGTTGCAGGAGCAGTGTTGAAAGCTGCCATGTAGTCTTGCTAGATGCTTATATTGGACTTTTCTTACTTCCAGTTTGACTACAACCCACAACTTGCCGACTGGTCTAGAGAAACCAGGGGGGCCAGTCTCATTAGCGTGAAGCCGCTAAACAACTGGCTGTTGATATACACTCGTCGCAATTATGACGCTGCTAATGCCCTGGTTCAAAATCTATTCAAGGTGACTCCCGCCATGGGCATACAAATGAACAAAGCCATAATGTAAGTAGTGCAGAGATGAGGCTGCATTATCAGCTTGTGTAGGTAAAGTAACAGATAAAATTTCTGCTTCTCATTTCTTTCAGTGCATGGATTTATTTAGGCAGTTCAATGTGCCATAGCTAGGACAGCCAAGAATTCTTGTCTTATAGCGCTGTCATATTTATAGAAATATTACTGGGGTTAATAGGAATGTATCACTCAGGTCAGAGTTATGCAGTTTGGACCAAAGCTCCCATCATTTCCCACGTTTTGCTCAGGTAGAAGTGGATAGCCCCATGTTCCTTACCCTTTAATCTTGAGTTTTGTATATTGGAAAGGGGGCTGTATAAAAGGCAGCCAACTGTGTGGCTTTTGTTTTTAGGGTTGAAACAGAAGACAGAACAGAAGGCTACTTGAAAACCCTAAAGCAAAAGATTACCTCAGACACACAGATGGTACGTATTAAGCTGTGGGAAGGAACCATCCCGAAAATGGGGGTCATCCCATCACTGCCCCTGAAAGCCGTAGGACAGAATACCATAGGCTTTATTATAGACTGAATTATGGCAGTCCTTTTAGGTCCTTTCCATTCTTCTTCCTCTGCCTTTCCCCGGATAGGTTCCCTTCCTCTCTGTCTCTTCCTAGACTTTGCCTTGGTTTTCCATACTCTTCTCCTCCCTTCACTGCCACTCCTGTGGGATGAGCAACTGACAAGGCTGACAACCTGCAGAGACTTGAGGGCTCCAGCTCTTAGGCATGTTCCCAATGTCGCTGGTTCTCAAACTTGATCGCTTAGGTGGGTTGGTTGTAACAGAAAGTACTTGCAGCCTGAGAGGGATCCCAAACCAACCTGTTGAAATTCAGTAGTGCTCTGGAGTAGGGTGAGTACCCATCTTCCCGTGTCATTATCTTGTGATTACAAGTTTCAACTCATTGAAAGGAAAGATTAATATGTAAATACAGTAGGACTGTAATATCTTTGGGAATTAGATCCACCCCCCACACACACACAGAAACATACCTGTGGATGGCAAAAAAGTGGAAGTATAAAACTATACATTATGTGGTCTCTGACTCCCTTTAGTGGGTTTCCATACTCTTCTCCTCCCTTCACTGCCTTTCCATACTCTCCGTCTCACATTTTATCAGACATTTCGTCTGTCCTTCTCAGCAACTTCTCAGCAGTTTCAGAATGGCCGCCGGGTAAATAAAATGGCTCCCCGGTGTTTTCTGGGATGGATTCCTCGCTGCACAGGCACCGAAAATGGCAGCCCTATGGAGGATCTTTGCTGGACAGTGAGTTTCCAGCCCATTGGAACACATTGAAGGGGTTTCAGTGCGTTTCAATGGGATTTTTATTTTTGCATTACGACATTTTCGTTTTACAGCGATTTCGCTGGAACGAATTAACGTAATGCGAGGCACCACTGTATAAGTATTTCTTAGGGGGTTTTTATTTAGTATTTTCAGGCAGTTGATATTCAGTGGATACTGATCCCATGGATAGTGGGCCCTACTATATGTTACAACTCTGAAAGTAAAGATGGTAACATTTATTAAAGCACAGAAGTTGTGGTTTTCAAAGTGTAGTCACACCAATGGCTGGGAATAGGTGATTCCTTCAGAGTCTGTGACTGGAATGAAGTCCTGGGATGGTCAGGTAGCTGGGAATGGTCTCATTTTCGAACTTTGGTCTGTTCTTGTGGGATTGTCCTGCAGGGCGTAGACTGTACAGAGTCTAAAACAGAACCGGCTGAAGCAAGCTGAGGGGAGAACCCGTTTTCTGGGACGGATTCCTCGCTGCACAGGCACTGAAAATGGCCGCCTTATGGAGGATCTTTGCTGGACAGTGAGTTTCCAGCCCATTGGAACGCATTGAAGGAGTTTCAGTGCGTTTCAATGGGCTTTTTATTTTTGCATTACGACGTTTTCGTTCTACAGCGATTTCGCTGGAACGAATTAACGTCGTAATGCAAGACACCACTGTATAAGTATTTCTGAGGGGTTTTTTATTTAGTATTTTCAGGCAGTTGATATTCAGTGGATACTGATCCCATGGATAGTGGGCCCTACTATATGTTACAACTCTGAAAGTAAAGATGGTAACATTTATTAAAGCACAGAAGTTGTGGTTTTCAAAGTGTAGTCACACCAATGGCTGGGAATAGGTGATTCCTTCAGAGTCTGTGACTGGAATGAAGTCCTGGGATGGTCAGGTAGCTGGGAATGGTCTCATTTTCGAACTTTGGTCTGTTCTTGTGGGATTGTCCTGCAGGGCGTAGACTGTACAGAGTCTAAAACAGAACCGGCTGAAGCAAGCTGAGGGGAAACCCATGACTGACACATTTGGGTCCCGTCCTTGGTAAACTTGAAAGGTTTTTCTTTCTTCCAGGTGGTTTGTCTCCTGTCCAGTAACCGTAAAGACAAGTACGACGCGATCAAGAAATTTTTGTGTGTCGAATGCCCAATTCCCAGCCAGTGTGTGTTGGCTCGCACCTTAAGCAAGCCCCAGACGGTGATGGCCATCGCCACCAAAATCGCTCTGCAGATGAACTGCAAGATGGGCGGAGAGCTTTGGAGCGTGGAGATACCCGTAAGTTGCGCTGTTCTTTGGCTTCCCTCTCGTTCGTTGGGTGGCACTCTCGTCTCAGTACTGACTGTGGTGAGCTGTTCGCAAACTCTTAGTCTTTATGCCACTACAAGTGCTCCTGCCGAGGTTACAAATGAAGAGACACTCACACACCCCCATGTGTGTGTGCAATTGGCACAAGAGCTGTTCCTTTCACATGAGGAGGTGGGTGACACGCTTGCAGCCATGCCCTACCTATTTTTTGCCTTGATAAGGAGGCTCACTAAAGCTGGGTTGCGGATTATATGGGGGCTTGAAAAAGTCTGTCTTGACATAGTTGGCTTTCCTGTAAGCACTTAATTGTAGATGGTGGTGTTTTTTATTTGATAGCATTCACTCTGCAGAATGCTGCTTTGCCTCCGTAAGTCTGCAGAATTATTTCTTGAAACCCTGAATTGTCCTAGTCACATACCAGCTAAATAACTACAGAAGAATATCATAATGGGTTGAGGTGTATTGCCAGTGCCCGTAATAATACAAAACATTGTTTAAAAGAACTATGCAAAAGATGACTGGCTTGGATAACAGTTGTATTAAAATGTCATTAGTTTATTTCCCCTCCCCAATAGTCATTTTCTTGAAGACAAACATATCTGTTCGCCATTGAGATGTCCTGCTGTTTGCGCAAGGTATTGAATCCTTGCCATTACAAAGACTTGCACTCATGTGAAAGAGAGTTGTCTGTAAGGCAGGTTACATTGTGTTGATGTGAAGATTGACCTGTGCCTCTTAACTGTAAGACATTTTAAGATATATTAAGACCTCCCTAATCCACAGGATCAGTATCTGCTGATTAACTTACCTACTACCTGAAATAAATTTAAAAAAAGAAAAATAAATTAAAAGCTTCAGAAATATGTATATATATTTTTTCAGAATGTTTACCAGAACTGGCTATTAGAGGGAGCCAGAGACTCGCAATGTATAACATTCAGTATTTCTGTGTTTTTCTGCACCCAATGGGGGATTAACCCTCCTCCTGAAAAAAATGGAAAGAATATGAGGAACAGGATAAATTTGCATACATATCCTGGATGGCAAATCCAATATGTAATACTGACTGATCTTACCTGTTGACAATGAGTTACATGTCTGCGGATGTTAAAACATAATGTTTTGATTCCAAGACATGATTTTTACACGTATGGGAAAACTCATTTTGGATTTGTAAAGTGAAAATTGGAAAGTTTGTTTTTTGGACTTTGAAACTTGCTCTTTGTTTCTGTAATACATTCAAGTTGAAAGGACTCATGATCGTGGGAATTGACTGTTACCATGACACTACTACTGGCCGGAAGTCCATTGCAGGATTTGTTGCCAGCAAATATCAAGGAATGACACGGTAAGAACTTTTTTAATAGTGTTTTTAATAGTGTTTTTTTTTTCTTTTTCAGAGGGTAGTGTTTAAAATCTGATTCAAAGGCACACATATTTCATATGAGGCCACTTGTGGATTTGCCATTTTCTTAAAATGGAAGTGCAGTAGGATTCCCCTGTCTGTGAGATCACTATCCACTGTTTCACTGGCTGAAAATACACACACACACACAAAAAAAAACCCCAATACCAAAATACATAGATATTTATACATATTTCCAGGGCGGGCTTACCAGAACTGAGGGAGCCAGAGACCATGCAGTGTATAGTTTCTGATACTTCTGCATTTTTTGGCATCCATGGGGATGCTGGGAACCAATGCCCTGCAGATACTGCAGTCCTGGTGTGTGCGGTTGTTGTCGTACAGCAGACATGTGTCACCTTGAGAAAAGAGGTTTCTAAGCGAAAGCATTCTTGCTTCTTGTCAACAGTTGGTATTCACGCTGTGTTCTCCAGGACGTGGGACAAGAACTTGTAGATGGACTGAAAGTGTGCTTACAAGGTAATACTGTATTAGCACGCCAGATTTTCTGGGTTCTGTTTTTGGGTTCTATCCTATGCTTAGTTACGGTATTGGAGCTAAAGGATAAGCTAGACACACTAATCCTGCATGTTAAACATTCTACTTTTCATTTGTGTCACCATTTTAAAACGGTCTCTCAATATGAGACCTGTGTTTTTTTCTCATTGCAAATATGACATGAGAATCTTGCAGGCTTAATGTCTTCAGAGCAGTGTAAGCTACCCATGTCTACGTTGAAGCAGTTCAGCTAGTAGAAATCAAGTTTCAGAGGGGGTAAATGTCTGTAAGGAGCCCCTTCCCCCATCGATTTCTCTAAATTGGCGCTAATTGGGCCAACGGGAATGACATGGGAATTCCGTTGCCTTCAGTGGGAGAAATGATCAGCAGCCTTCTGGCTTCAGGCATATAGGAGGTATCGTTTGCTTTTCCAGGCAGCCGAAGCTCAGTTACTACGTCATGTCTGAACAGAGACTTCTGTTTTTGCCATCCCCAAATCTGTCACAAACCAGGGTTGGTTCATGGAGAAACGCGACCCAACCTGTGCTGGTTTGGCTGCAACATGAAGCTTTCACTGCTTGCTGCATTCTGGTGGTTCTGTCCTTCCTGTTGGCAGGGAGATCCCATGGGAACAATAAGCCAGAGCTCTTGGTAAACGTGGCCTCTCCTGACTCAGAGCGCCACAGCTGGAGAGAAGTAAAGCAGACCAGTTGAGGGGAAGGGTGTAGGGGCTTGAAACTTGAAAGGCGGCAGTCTGTCAGAAATGGATTTATAAAAAGGAAGAAACTGAGCTTGGCGGTGGACAATATTGGTAATTATAGGCCCGTCGCCGATGTTTCTTTCCTCAGCAAGTTAGTTGAGAGGGTGGTGGCCAATCAGCTGCAGGCTCTTCTGGGTGAAAGCAATGCCCTGGATCCGTTCCAGTCGGACTTCAGGTCGTGCCGTGGCACAGAAACCGCATTGGTCGGCCTGCTTGATGATCTATTGAGGGAGGCCGATGGGGGCAAAATGTCTCTGCTGTGGTCCTCCTCGATATCTCAGCCACCTTGTGATACCATCGGCCATGGTATTCTCCTGGGGAGGCTCTCTGAATTGGGAATCGGTGGCCTGGCTCCGTTCTTTCTTGGAGGACCATCTCCAGAGAGTGCAGATTGAAGAGAGTTTCTCGGCCCCGTGGAGCCTCAATTGTGGAATTATCTCTCCAATGCTATTTAACATCTATATGAGGCAGCTGGGACGAGTCATCAGGGGATGTGGGGCTTCGTGTCATCAGTACGCTGATGATACTTAGCTCTACATCTCCTTTTTTCCAACAACAGTGGATGCTGTTTTGTCCCTTGAGCGCTGCCTGGGGGCTGTTCAGCAGTTGATGCAGGTGAATGGACTGAGGCTGAGTCCGGGCAGGACGGAGGTCCTTTGGGTGGGTGTCCCCAGAATGGACTGAGGCTGAGTCCGGGCAGGACCGAGGTCCTTTGGGTGGGTGTCCCCGTCCTCCAATCCCCGATTTTGGCACTCCCCTCTGCTGGTGCAGTGGTCCACGAGGCACGACTGTATTGGCAGTTGATTTTGTGTTGCAGTTTGGGTACTCGGGCTCAAAAAGGTTCACCATCACTGGTCTAGGTGTTCTGGTGCTGGTGAACAAAAAGTCTCGGATACATAAAGGGGATCTTTTTTTTAAAGTATTACTAATTGGTCTGCTGGTCTTTTCTCATAAAGCTGCTTTAAGGACTTGGCATACAAACAACCACCACTTGCCGAGTCGGATAATCGTCTACCGTGATGGAGTTGGAGATGGTCAGCTGAAAACTTTGGTTGACTTTGAAGTCCCTCAATTCTTGGACTGCCTGAAATCGGTTGGGAAAGATTATAAGTGAGTCTGTAAGCTGACGTTACTCGATGACAATGCGCCTTGACTCAAAGAGAGGTAGCTTGACCTAATAACTTCTCCATCATTGAAGCAGATAGATTGTTGTCATTGATACCTCAAGAGGCGAGTCTTCTGAGTGTGTGGTGGAGATGAAGCTGTTGGAAGCACTGTGGCTCATGTACAATGTTAAGGTGGTGAAGAGTCTCCTAACCGCTTATCTTTGTGGGCAAGTGTGATGCTACTCAACTTTTAAAAGCGTCCAGAGGGTTGGAGTATTCTAAGTAAAGAATTATTGGACAGATGAAGTCCTGGTACTGCTTTATGTAGAAATCTGGCTAAGACAGTCCTTTGTGGTTCCTAATCTTGCAGGAACAAGTAAAACTGGGCATTGGTTTAGAACGTCTAGACATCATTCTGCTTTCTGGAATTGCCAATTTCTTTTAAGTTCTTAACACTTCACCACCCTGATGGCTCGAAGTGGCAGAAGCCGATAACATAAATCCCACAGAAGCATTTTAAAGCTTTGGCAGAGTAGTGATAAGATCTTGTCTGTCATAGCAGTTCTGACACTAAACTTCTCCTGTGATCTTCTCAAGCCCTAAGCTCACCGTGATTGTGGTTAAAAAGCGTCTGAATAACAGATTCTTTGCTGACATTGGTGGAAGACTCCAGAATCCGCCCCCAGGCACAGTCATTGATACTGAGGTCACCCGTCCTGAGTGGTGAGTTACAAATGTAAATACATCTATACCTTGTGCAGACAAAAGATAAATAGGAGATTCTAGGGTGGAAGCACAGCAGCATGAAAAAATAAGCAGGACTGAACAACTTCTTAAAAGTACATTAGGACTCTTCTATCCGTGGGATCAGTATCTGCTGATTCACTTATCCACTGCCTTAAAATGGTACAGTGGTGCCTTGACTTACGAACGTCGCAACATACAACCATTTCGAGTTACGACCAGCTCCGGCTGCAAAATTTTGCTTCGACTTGCGGCCGGAGCTTCCAGTTACGAACAGAAAAAAAGTGGGGAATTCAAATTGCTAACTGTTGGTGGTGAAAAAGCTGCTTCTTTGTAGCTCTTTCACCCCAGCAGTTAGTGTGGGATCGAAGGAGGCTTTGGACAGCCTGGCAAGGTGCTGCCTTCTACTTTTTAAAAACTGTTGTGGGTGGGCTTTGCAGTGTGGTTTTGGGCTGGGTGGTGGGATTATGTTTCTGTGCTGTGATGGGTCTTGCACGGTTGTTTGCTTTCTCTCTTTCTCTCTCTCTCTCTCTCTATTGGGCCAGAATGGATTTGTCACGTTTCTGATGGGCCTTGCAGTGGTTTTTTTAAATTGATTGATTGATTGCGATTTTTCTCTTTGGCCGGAACGGATTAATTGCATTTCAGTACATTCCTGTGGGAAATGGTGCTTTGATTACGACCATTTCAAGTTACGACCAGAGTTCCGGAACCAATTAAGTTCGTAAGTTGAGGCACCACTGTAAATTAAAAAACCCAGAAGCACATATTTGTATGTAGTCCCCCAGTGTATTTTCCAGAACAGGCACCTAGTGCTACGCATAGTCTTCATGATACCTGCATTTCCCAGCCTCGGTGGGTGGGGCATGCAAACGAACTCTGCAGACAGCACAGTCCTACTGTAGTGCTGTTGGGGTGGTCTTTTTAAGAGGAACAGCCGCTTTTCCAGCGGGCAAAGGTGACTGTATGCAGAATCCCCCCCCTCACCCTTGGTAAGCAGCACGAACCTTCGCATTAGCTTTGCTTACAACCTGCGTGCAAACTCCCTGCTGAATTTCTGATCCTGCCTGCTGATGAGGAAGGGCATTAGCTTTGTTTTCTTCCTTCACCCAATTGGGTCTTTATCCCTTTGCTACCCCACCCATTATAACCTGGCCAGAACACATCTGAGTGTGAGCTTTGGGGCCATCTACCTGTGCCTTTTAAGGAGCTTCCTTTTCTTGGAGAAGGAAGGCTGCGAAGTTCCCCCGGCTCTTGTAACAGCCGTGCCTCTGCACGAAAGCCATGGTGGGACCAAGATGCAGGCGCCGTGCGGAAAGCCTGCAAAGTCCTGGATCTAGTAGGGGCCAGATTAGGGGATTAGAGCGTTTGTGTGGCAAGAAAACAATACGAAGGCCTCCGACAACAGGAAGAGCCCCCAAGGCTGTGAGTGTAGCTCTTGTGTCGGGCAGCCACACAGCAGGCAGAAGCCGTTCCTCGGTATGCTGGGCCCAGGCCAGGCTTAACTCCCTTTGCCTTAATTGGGCCAGGGGAATTTTGGGGATAGGGCATCATCCAGTTTGCCGCAGTCCAGTTGCCTAAGGGGGAGGGGCTGAGTTTACATTCCTGCATTTCCTCTTACAGGTACGACTTCTTCATTGTGAGCCAGTCTGTGAGAAATGGCACTGTCTCGCCAACTCACTACAATGTCATCTATGACAACAGTGGCCTGAAGCCCGACCACATGCAGCGGTTGACCTACAAGCTCTGCCACATGTACTACAACTGGCCAGTAAGTAAGCGACCTTCTTCTTGCTTAGATGGTCCATCAAAGCCTAGGCGTGAGCGCTTCTCCCTGTGGGCTATTTTCCAGCCAGAACCAAACCAGAGTTTCCGGTTGCATTTGAACTGGCAAACTGTAGCTTCAACAAGCCCGCCAGATTGGAATTGGAAGCAGTGGCTTGAACCTTTTGAGTCTAGAGGGTTTTGAAAGCCATGCTTGTTTGGAAGAGGGCTTTGGATGCAGCCAGTAAAAGTGTGTGTGTGGGGGACTTCATCTGCCTGTTGACTGCTTTTGCACAGAAACCTCACCCAAGGATTTAATTTGCGGAATGGCATACATACAGGCCATGCAAAATTCCAATAAGCTGCCTGTATTTTTTTTTTAAACGTTATTTCAGCCCTACAGTTTGACTCTTTAAAAAAAAATGTTGTTTTGGAGTTGACCCTAGAGTGCAAGGCTCAGCAAATAAACTAAAACGCCTTCTGGCCCCCATTGGCTTTCCTTTTGGGGGACTGGCATGGCCCCTAGTGGCTCTTGGGGATCAGCCCCAGGTCCTTTTGCCTGCTCCTTAGTCTTGGTAAGGTCTCAGCAGACAGAAGGCAAGTTGGTGCTTGTAGACAAAAGCATTCCTAGCTTTTATCATCTGTGTGTAAGAGGAGACCCGAAAGGGATTCTGGGTGTGTTCCTGTTGAGATGATAACTGAAGGAAATGTAGACCATGCAGTTGAAAGGCTCCTACAGTATTTGTTCTCTGGAAACACGTAATCCGCAAATAACATGCTTGAGGCTTCCGTCCCCAGAAATGATGAATGAGCTGTTCCGTGTAACTTGTCTTCTCCTCAGGGCGTGATTAGAGTACCTGCTCCCTGCCAGTACGCCCATAAACTGGCTTTCCTGGTGGGCCAGAGCATTCATCGGGAACCAAACCTGGCCCTCTCCGAGAATCTGTATTACCTGTGATTCTAGGAGAAGATGATGGAGTGAAAAATGATGGGAAGAGCTCTTGTGCTGCCTGGATTTTTCTGTAGATAACTTTGGAACAAATGCACCTGTGTTGGCTTTGTTGTGTTAATGCCATTTCGAGAATTTGTTTTATGTTGAGGGATTTCTTATTACCTGGTCGAGGTTATCAACTAGAAAATCTTTTTCTTTTTTCGGTTGGTAAAGGTAAACTAAATTTTGGAACACTTTTGTGTTGGTCCTGCTGGAAAATAAAGTTCTACATTGCCCTCCTTTCAATATAGTTCTTTTCTGTTAAAAGGTATCTTAGTTTTGAGTTTCTGGGCCAGTGGAATTTGTTCTTTAAGATTCTGGAAGGAGGACGAGTAATGTGATTCTCATCCTAATTAAGCAGAAACGGGAATTGTGATAGAAGTGGTTGGCTGTCAGGCCCTTTCTCCTCCTGGGGAAGCCAGGATCCAACCTAGTGTGTCTGCTTTACTTGTGAACAAAACAGGCAACAAAAAGACAACCGTGTCTACAAAATATCAAATTTATTTATATAAAATATTTTACACATGAACAACTGTACACATGCACACGCCCACATTATACTTTAACCACAAATTGAGGCCAGTATTTTTTTTTCCTCTTTAATTTCATAAATCTAGCCCACAAGGTTATTTTACAAGAATGTACATTGTATTTCTTTGAAGACACAATGGGGAGAAGCTTTGATCATTCATATTATAAACCTTCCACCAATTACAAAAGAAAGGCAATCTGAAAAGTATGTATAAACAGTAAAAAGAATTTACAAATGGACAGGTTACAAAAGAGGAATAGCCGAATGTCTGCCAGCAACTACGTGGTCAGGTTTCTTTTTCTTTTCTGCCCCTCGTCGTAATGCTAATCACGGGGCATAGGATGTGGCAAACTTAGCACTCTTTATCTGTTTTCAGTGACTTCTGGCCAGTGAATAACAACACAACTGTTTCATTGTAGTACTTCCTCATGTCTGTTCTGCATACTTTAAACAGCAACAGTGTCCCCCCCAAAAATGGTGTGCAGTTTGAATACATCCCTGGCTGCTGGAATATATATAGATATATGCATACATATATGTCTATATACCTCTCTATAGATATATATCGATATATATATACATACAAATGTTTTTTGTGCAGTAATCTGGCTTTAGAGTTTCCTGGAGAGGTTGACTAGCAGAACGCAGAGGTTTTGTTTTTTTTAATGCACCTTTGCACAACACTTTCAGACTCCTGAGGAGTTACATCAGACATTGAACGGAGTCGGCAACACCAACAACTTGCTCTTTGAAATCACCCATGTCTCAGCGAGAATGGAAAGACGGGTGGAATACACAGTACATACAAAGTATACGCTGTATAGGTTAGACAGTACAAATCATTGTGCATGTAGTAAGGCAAACATCAAGGCGGATCAAACTAGGAGTTTCAAGACCATGTGTGTGTTGTGTGAAGTTGTAGAGACAGGGTTAGACGCGGGTGGGTGGGATTTAGGGAACAGCGTTTTTCTTTCTCCGCGTTAAAGGAGGGCAACAGAACTTGGATGTAATGGAGGCGTTAGAAAAGGGCTTGCCTCCTCCCAGTGTAGTTGTTGGTCTTTCGTACCTTCAGTTGTCTTTTTTTTTTATTAAAGTAGTACACTGGCAAGGACACCACTCCTCATAGCAATGCATTTTTTGCCCCCTTGTTATTTGATTTTTAACGCCAAAACTGGTCTCGGAGTTTCTCTGCTGAGGTGGGAATATGCTTTTTTTTTTTCTTTTTCCAAAAAGGAAAAAAAAAAGGTTTTCAGTGTGGAAAGATATTTTGGAATAGCCATGAAAGCCCTAGTTTTTGAAGTTTTTTTTTTTTTAGACTCTTTCGTGTAAAAATAAAAATACATAGATCTGAAGCTTTACAGGTTGTCCAGAAGAAGAGCACGCATTCATTTCACTGCACCAAGCCTTTTCAGGAGTTTCTTCCCCTTGGAAAGCAGCCCCTTTTTCTTTTTCGAGGGCAACTCCCTGCCTCTCCCGGGACTACCAGAACCCACAGATGGCGTAGGTGACCCCGAATGGAGATGGACTGTAGGGGATGGTGCGCTCCTTGGTGAGGTACCTGTACTCTCGGGAGGAACCTAGTAGGTACATTGTTACAGTTTACAGAATGTTTGAAAGCCATCAACAACAAGAAAACTGGTAACATTTTTTTCTTTTCATTTCCTTTTCCTTTTCGGACAATCCATTTTTTCCCCTTTAAAGCATGCCACGCGAGGGACATGTCTAGTTTACCAAAGTGACAAACAGTCGCTGACAATTTGATTATTTTTTTTAAAAAAACCCCACAACCCACAGCTTTTAAAATACATGCTGATTTTTTCTTTTTGCAAGGGTGACCCAGAACTAGATCTTATCTCAATCAAATTGGTGGGGTTTTTTTACATCTCGGTAATCTAGCGGTGAGAAATCCAACTTTTAAGTACAGTACTACCAATGGGAAGTTCTACATATGCACTAGCCAGGTTCCAGAAGGAATCACCGGTTTGGGTGGTGATAAAAATCGGAGCATTTCTGCTCGTCAGCTCTGTAAAACATTTCTTTTAGCATACTGTATAGACATACTTTGAGAAGGTGGCACACTGGTTGAAAGAAAAAAAAAAAAGCTAAAATTGAACCTTAATTGTGATCAAAGAAAGCTTCAAGACCTTGGATGAGCTGTGGCAGCAAATGTTTATTTTTAATGCACGTGATAAATGAGCAGGATGTGGCTGCTTGCACAATGAATCAGGAGTATTTGGGGGAAAGCACAAGATGAATTGATACTTAGGAAATCGTTTGCAGAGCGAGAGGCAATGAGCCTCGGCCCTCGTCTAGTACTCTTTAAGTTGGCTGGCTTTTTGCTTTTTTCCTGGCAGCCTTGGGTGGTTCTTGCTGGGTCCGGTTACCCGGTTCAGACTAATCAATGGAGGTGAAATTAAGCAAAGGGGTCGCCAGCTTACTTTGATCTCAAGTCAAGGTCTTTGTCTAATGAAGAAAACAAACCAAAGAGAGAGAGAGAGAGAAGAAAAGGAAAAAAAACACCACTTTGTAGAAGCACCCCAACGTACACCTGAAGATACCATATATCGAGCACTAACACATTCATTCATGGGTTTGAGCTGCACGTTTTAATACCAACTTATTGCATTGATAAACCAAAGAGCTGCTGAGTATTTTGTGAACACGGGCAGATCCGTTTGACTTACGGATTGGTTTTTTGGAATGAGAACTAGGGAAGAGAAACCACTGTAGGCGAACACGGCTGCCAGAAAAGACACTTTTAAGGCAAACAGTTGAAGCAGATAGTTGAGGTCAATTTGTTTTCAAAAACAACCATATTATCTATTTTTTTTCCTCAGCTGCCATTTTTAAAATCTGCTAACCACGTTAGGGGCCTCGTTCAAGGGCCCAGGCTCCTCTGAGACCGGCTAACAATGCAATATGCAGCTTCTCTTCAGAGATTGTAAGACTAGGACCAACTCTTTTTTTATGCAAACAAAACACTGAAGTTCAATAAGAAATATGTTCCAAACGTCAAACCTCCTTTGTTGTTAATATATGTGTATATATATTTTTTTTTAATGAACGTGAGCCCTGAATACAAGGAAGAAAACCACGAGGAGTGAGAAAATTGACATTTTTGACACACCTTTGAAGAGTTTTTTTTAAAAAAAGAAATAAACGAAAGATAAGCGAGGAACGTACGCGACTAACCAGGGCTAATGGTTTTGGAGACATATTTCTCTCTTTCTGCACATTTAAGGGCCAAGACGGCTTGCATTAAACAATGCCAGCTAGCTTGAATTGGTATCTCTATTGGTATCTTCAGTTGCTCACTTACGTGTGTAAAGGCTACTTTGCCTTTTTTTAGGGTGTGAAATGAACACTCTTCTTCTGTTCCCAAGCAGATGAGCAAAGAAATAAAAATATACATAAAATAGAATATATAAAAACTGCCTTGATGGAAAAAAATTACAGGTGAGCATACTATACATGAATCATTCTTTCCCCCAAAGGTGGGCATTTGTATAGGGTAGTCACTGGCACCAAAAAAGGGGTTGAGTTGACAATTTACGTGGGGAGCCTAGAAAACGTCTTTTCCCCCCTTTCTGTGTTTAATTTAAATAGCATAGTTCTATTTCTGGATGTAAATTGTATAAACTAGAAAGGGTGGTGGCTAAGTTGCATTACAGGGAACCAAACAAGTGGTTCACAATTAAGATTCATAGTCTTTATACGCATTAGTAGAACAATTTACTTTGGTGTCTACTGTCTCTTTTTTTTTTAACATGTCCTGCAAACAACACGCAAATGGAATTCAAAATGTTAAAATAAGGATAGTACTCAAACTGAATCTGAAATGGTGGATGGGGGGAAAATTAAAAACCAAAAGAGAACAAGGCCTTTATTTTTGTTTTCTCAATGCTTGCTTACCCTTTTTGCTTTTGTACGTATTGGCGTATCTTGAGCATATTGCGACGGGGCGTCGGATAGATAGACCTCGACATCATCAGGCACTTCTTCAAGAAAGTTTGAAGGAACCAGACCCTTCTGACCGTTGAGCTCGCCCTAGAGATTGGGGGCAAGAAGCAGGAAATGTTAACAGTGGGGAGATTAGACCGGGTCTAATGCAATGTGCCGGTAAGCTGCGTTGGGTCCAAACAAGGAACTGCTGGAGGAGTAAAATTGGCTTGTTGCCGAATACTGCCCTCTCACATCTCTATACCCTTTGGTTGCGTTTGGTACCAAAACTCCTGTCACTCCCCACCACCAAAGAGGTTTGGCAATTGTCTCCTTAACACTGGATTTCAACTAGCTCCATGGAACTTTCTTCCCCAGCGAGGGCTTGCCAGGCCTACAGGATTTGGCCCTCCAGGTCACAAGATGGCACTACTTTTCTAGAAGGCTTTTGTCGGGTCTGGCTGAGGGGGCCGTTCGGCTCTCGCATGCACCGGCTGCTGTTTCCCACGTCTTTGGCTTTATGGCTTCCGTTGCGGGGGTTCTTGAAACCAAGAGTCAAAGACTACATTATAGGTTTATTATTACTATTTATTATTATTAGAAAAGGGTATGGGTTGGCTGGTTTTCACCCTGTTTTGTGACTGGTCTCTTGAGTGCAAACCTTGCTTCAGAGGGTGCTTGTTTCACTGCAAAAGCCTGCCTGAGTTACATTCCTGGAACTCTGAGGATTTGGACGATAAGTTATCCCTGTAATGCAGTTTGGCCTTAAAAATTATCAATCCCAGTGTGTGTGTGTTTCCTCTGGACAGTGGCATCTAATACAAAGGAGTCCATATTCCTTCCCTCTCTCTTTCCAAGAGATGAAGAAAGAGTACCGCTTGAAAACATACTCTGTATTTTGCCACAGAAATTGACTGACAAAAGGAAGCCACTTACGTAGTAAAAACCGTCTTCGTCAATTTCTCCAACGACTGTAATAATGTCCCCTGTACAAAATGTTAGCTCGGCCTGCAGAAAAGAGGACAAAAACCTCATTTTTTCAGGACTTTCTGTGAAGGAGGTTTGGGGTTAATCGGCTTCCTCAAGTTACTAGCAATTTATTTATTTGCTGCCTTTCTCCTAAAAGATCCAAGGTGGCTTACAGTATTAAAAGTTAAAAGCTAAATAACAAATCATCACAGTATTAAAAGATACATGTTTAATGCTATTAAAACAGTGTTAAACAGATATAATTTATAACAGCAGCATTAAAAGCACAAGTCAAATACAGAATAAAATGATCCCTTTAAATCCCTTTGGTCAGCCAATCATTTAAAGGAAAGCCTGCCTGAAGAGAAAGGTCTTTGCTTGTGGAAGGACAGCAAAGACAGGCCAGCCAGGCCTCCAGTGGGAGGGAGTTCCAAAGTCTTAAAAAGAACCAGTACATCTTCCAGCACCTCTACTTTTTCTTTTGGGAGGCAACGTCTGTCTCTTGCAGGGAAGAGGAAATAAAACAAATTCCACCCCAGAAGCACAAAACAACTGCCAGAAGCTTTAGTTGCATTGAAGACCTTAATACTGGAGCATAGCAGCATGACTGCCATGATAGGGGAGGGAGATCCTGCCCGTCCGCCAACCAGGATTCGGCAGACCTTGAACTTCTGGCTGCTTTGGGTAGTGGCACTGCCTTATGCCAGGCACACAAAAGAACCCTCGTCAGCCGATGCCGTTCCCTCCACGGCTATCCCAAAGCCGTGTTGGCATTTGCTCCATTAATACTGGAGCATAGCAGCATGACTGCCATGATAGGGGAGGGAGATCCTGCCCGTCCGCCAACCAGGATTCGGCAGACCTTGAACTTCTGGCTGCTTTGGGTAGTGGCACTGCCTTATGCCAGGCACACAAAAGAACCCTCGTCAGCCGATGCCGTTCCCTCCACGGCTATCCCAAAGCCGTGTTGGCATTTGCTCCAGCGAATACCGCACACAAAAGAACCCTCGTCAGCCGATGCTGTTCCCTCCACGGCTATCCCAGTTACAAAGCCGTGTTGGCATTTGCTCCGGCGAATACCTCCACATCGACGTTGGGCGAGCTCTCCCTCGGATCGTAGTCGTACAAGGCCACCATCCTCCGCGTCGAGGCGGCCGGGGGGCGGCTGCTCCTTCGGTTCCTTTCTGTTGCAACGAAATGGAAGGAAAGCTGTCACTGTTCCTTTTAAAACATGTTCGCAGGACAGCTTTCCTCAAAGAGGAAGCCATCAACTCGAAACCTCCACCAGCAACCAAGCCAGGGAGCTTCTAACCCTTACCCATTGAGTGGAAAACAAAACCAGAGCAAGCAACACAGAGGTTTTAGGTCCTGCTCTGAGTTACTGTATCTATCTTGAAATTTTCTAGAAGTCTTGAGAACTGCTCAGTGGTTCAGGCATCTGGCTGTAGAGCCAGAGGCTGGGAGTTCAATTCCCCACTGAACCTCCTTGACAGGGGATGGACCCAAATGATCCATAGGGTCCCTTCCAGCTCTGCAGTTCTCAGATGATGATGGTTTTTTTTTTTTTTTTTGGTTATTAGCAATTCTTTCCAGCTCTGCAGTTCTCAGATGATGATGTTTTTTGTTGTTGTTATAAACAATTCCGTAGGAGTCTTAATAAGGAAAGTCTAAACTTTGCCTTGTTTGCATTATTTTCATCTTGCCAATATTTTTGGATCTAAGCAACACTTCTGATGAAAGTTGTGAGACCAGGGCTGCTGGCTTGATGCCAGTGGGGCGGTGAATCCAATCCAGCTTTTTGGGCCAACCTTTCTTAGAGCTCCCGGAGGTGCTGAACTGTTTTTGGAGACTATGATATGGCAACAGGGCTCTCCAGTTGACTAAAAACCAGAGCCGCCAGTTCGGAGCTACCAGTGAAACCTTTGTGTTGCTCTCCGTGATCACAGAAACGGTCTTTCCAGGAAACATAACACAACATTTTCTCAACGAGAAAGAGCAAGTGCGGTTTGAGCATTTGTGAAGAGCCGCAAAGGAACAACGACCGTACACCGAGGTTACAACCACTCCAGAGGGAAGTTTCTATGGTGGCCTCCCACTTCCAGACTACAGATGAGCTCCATGGCTGGCCCTTGTCTGTAGTTGATTTGGCAAGAGGGAACCATGTATATATGAGCGCCCGACATTTCAGGAGAGAGACGGAGAGAGACGTCTGGGGCAGAATTGGTGGAGCATATGGTGAAGACAGGCGGCAGAAACGGGGTTAGAGACTCTTCCATGGAGCAGAAACATCCAAGGCATAAAGAAGTGGGGTTGTGTACTCCTGTTTCTCTGTCTTGTTACCTGGGTATTGTGACAGGGGGGAGACGCACCAATCCTGAGGGTCTCCAAAAACGCCCCACGGCGCACCTTGAACACCACTGCCCTGTGCCACTGAAGCCAGTGGTGGTGTAACCGATGGAGGAGGCTGCAGGATTTGCATTCTCTAGTGCAATACTTTGGATTGTTACTCATCGAGTGCAGAGTACACAATCGCGGCAACACTATTGCACATAATGCAGACACGGAGGGAGGGAGAGGAGGTTTTGCCGAAACCCTTTTCTGCTGGCAAGTATTTGTTCCGACGTGTAAAAGGAGGACGATACCAGACAGCTCAAAGCACTTTGCTCCGTCAACGGGCCACTGAATCACATCACTGGGTTTTGAGATGGTGTGTGTTCAGTTTTGTTTGTTTTTTTAAATGAAAGCACAGACCTCTTTTAGACCTTCTGGATTTGCGGTGCCCGGAGCGTGTGGTCTCTCTGAAACGGGTGTGGTTGACTTCAGGAAAAGAACAAATACAAGAAGACGAGAAGCTATGAAGCTGTTGGCTTTCTTTTTTCCTGTTTTGAAATGAGGGCTACCCAAGAATTAAGCAAGAGACAATGACCGAGAACCCCAAAAAAGACAGTGACTGAATCCTCTCGCGTGGGTGTGACCCGTTTTGTTAGAACAAGGCTGGGGAGATCCGGCGCGTACTGGTAAGAAACAGAACACCACCCCTGCATGACCCAGCATGTCGTTTTTGCAGACGGAAGTCAGCATTTGAGGTGAACTGCAAGAGGGAGGTTTTTTTTTAAAAAAAAGGGTTTCAAATGATAGCAAAGACTTTTTAAAAAATTCCTGAAAAATAAAAGGCATCTGGCAAAATTTATGTGCTAAATTGCATGAATTCAGTTGGTTTGGTTGCACGAGTGCCTACCTTAACTGCATGGGTATCAGTTGAAGGAACTGCATGAGTGAAATTAGTTGTGGTGTTAGTTAACTGAACACAATTACCATATACATTTTAGTATATAAATTATAGCTCTGGGGGAATCTAGACATGTCAGCAGATAGAATTCTGATCCCAAGGGAAAACAAACGTAAACAAAAAGTCCCAAGATTATTAAGAACTGCTGGATAGAAAAAACAAGGAAACCCCCCCAAAAAAGGCATCACATTTTATGGCCTCTACCTAATCGAGAGGCTCAGCGAAAGCAGACCACACTGTTCAGCTGCAGGTACATTTTGCTGTCTCATGATAAAATACTGGGGAATGTGTTCCTTTTTTGCAATCGTTATTGCGATCGCTAAATGATGATTCCTATGGGGTTTTGTGCTTTACGACGATCAGTTCCCTGCTTCGGGAACCGATTTTTAGCTTAACGATGGTTGTGAAACAGCTGATCGGTGGGTCTCAAAATGGCCACCGGCTGTGCAGAATGGCACCCCGCTGTGTTTAGGACTGATTGCTCGTTTTACAGACATCGGAAAATGGCCGCCCTATGGAGGATCTTCGCTGGACAATGAGGTATTTCCCCCATTAGAACGCATTAATGCAGTTTTTAATGCATTCTAATGGGTTTTTTACTTTCGCTTGATGATTTAGCTCTATAGCGATTTTGCTGGAACGCATTATCGTCATCAACCGGGGCACCACTGTAAGCTTAACTTTTTTTATTCAAATCTTTTTGTTTTTGTGTCTATACCTTGTAATAAAATTGAAAACACTTGTTGGAAGACCTATTACCAAACTTGAGAAACGTCTCAGTCATTTTAGCAGCCCGAGTCCCAAATGGATGCAGTAAATTTCTCTTGTTGCACCTTTGGAGGTGGCAACTACAGATGTGTCCTTACCTAATTTCTCTATAGGGGTGTTCAGAGGGAGAAAACCTTGCTTCAGAAGTTGCTCCATCATCTCTTCATCATCAGCTTGGATTTCGGAGACCATATTGCATGGAATGAGGCCAACCCTTGCACAGGTTTCTCCCCGGTAAAAGCCATCAATATCCTTGTCGCCATAAACCTTATGTTGATCAAGGACAAGGAAAGAAATAAGCATGCAGTCTGACCAAGGGTCAAAACAAGACAATACACTTAGCACGTTCTTAGAAGAGGTGCTCCCTCTAGTCATGAAATATGTCTGTGTCACAGCACGGAGATTTCAATAGCTTCCCTGTTGTGTGCTCTATGTCACACTAGCCCCAAGATCAGTAGTACATGTTTGTGTAATTGGTCCTGGCACTCTGAAATTATACTAGGATACTAGCCTTGGATATCAGCTCCCAGCTTACTGAGGAATTCTGGATTTGTACTAAAAAAAAGTATTATTTCCACAACGGTAACTTCTTAGGAGGTCTAACAAGGTGGTTTTGTGATGTCTCAAGTTACGAGTGCTGTGACACTTGAACAAAACAGTACTTTCTAGTGCTCTTCTGAACATCTCACCAAGCGGAGAGTGCTCAAAAATGCAGACAGAAACACCAGCTTCTTGATTCGACAAGGCCAACCCAGTCCTATGAGAACATGTCTCTCTTCGCTTTAATTACCTTAATAATCTGCCCTTCTTTAAACGGGAGCTCCTCTTCCGCTGCGTCAGGGTTAGGAGACATGGTCAGTGGGTCGTAGTCAAAAAGAGCCACAAAGATGCGTGCGGACACCTCTTCAGCACCAGGATCGGTTTCAGATTCTTCATAAATTTCTGGAGACAGGCGATCCCGGCTGCCATATCCATCTGCAACAAAAAACCGCCAGAAGCTCGGTTGGTGCAAAAATCGCTATCCTTGAACCTTGTTTGAGAACTCCAATCTGTCCCTGTGGAGATCTTAAAACATCTTACAATTCAGTTTCAGCTCCTTCGGAGACCAGGGGAATCAATGGTTTTCCAGACGTTTAGGACTACATCACCCACAATTCCTTGCTTGTCAGCCCTACCCCAGTTGGCCAAAAGCTTTTGCTCTTAGCAAAACCTACAAACGGGTTGTGAAATAATAGAGACGTGGAGAAAGTCTGTCTTCAGATTAGAAGTGGAACGAAGACTTGCTACACTCGTCTTTGTTGATTTAGGCGCTCTTGTCTTGAGAAGATTGCTCAGGTCGGCCACACGTCCAGGAACGCAGCCAGCACCTTAATGAAAGAGTGCGGATTTGCAGCTGTGATTTAGGTAGGTCGTTCACAAGATGGACTGGGCGGGCCCAGGTTTCCTGGAGGTACAGCTCATGGGAACTCCAGCATGGGGGGAAAAGCTATGGGAAAAGACCTGCAGACTTTTGCCCTGCCTCCCTGCTTCCAGAATTTACAACACAGCCTCTCTATTTTGTCAAACAACCCAAGGATACTAGCGATGATGGTGATGGCTGTGGGCAACCAAGTCTCCTCCACACACAACTACAATTAAATATACATGTATTATTCTGATGGCTCCATGTTCTGGCCTTCCTGTTTTAATGTAATCCATTGAACTAAGGACGTTGGCTTCAGTTCCCCCATGCCCGCCTTTGAACCACTTTCTCAAACATCGTCTCCTCTTTCTCCGGGGAAACTCCCTCTGATATTTTGGCTTTCCACTCCCATGTTCCTTTGCCACTGGCCACATGTGCTGAAGTGGAGTCCAAAACCCCAGAAGCCACCACCACCTCGGGGATGAGTGGTCTGGAGGTGCACAAGACCACAATTTTATTACAGCCATGCCGTTTCTGATCTCAGTACCATTCATGACAGATTCATCATTCCTACTAGAATCTAAGAGACTTAATCAGAGGGGTCATAGGCTCTGTCCCGCCCCTCTTGCATCTGAGCATCTTTTGTTCATTTGATCTTTACTTAAAAAGGGCCACCCAACAAGATGAGCGGTGAGATGCCATTTTCAGTCGGGAGGATGAGGGACAAGACCAACCTGGGTAGGAAAAAACGCAGTGAACACGATACAACAAGAGCAAACCCTGAATAAAGGAAATGAGAGCTGCAGCTCCATTCCGGTGTTGAGCAGGATTTTTGGCTGCATGCCACAACAGTGTGAGGTCAAGACCGCCGTGAAAACCACACCGAGCAGCCAAAGGCTGTGGATGCCCCACGGTAAGCCCACAAAGTGTACTGGAGGGTCAAATTCAGCCAAGCCATGATGCCTCATGCTTTGGTCTCTTCTTGTCCGTGAAGCCACTTTGCATGCATGCTATTTGACAGTGCAAAAATGGACCCTCCTCCTCCTCCTCCAAGGATGCAGGTAAGAGAGACCTAGATGGACGTCAGCACAACATCACCAAACAAAGCCGGGAGACAGAAGACTAAAACCACCCTTTGATATCTAGGAACTCTACCACCTTCTTCAGGCCCCAACTCTTCCCCATAAGCCCAGGTAGCTTTTCTCAACTACTGTACATTCACAGTACAATCCTACTGACTTCTTACTACCAAGTCCCACCAAAGTCTGTGCAACTTCCTCCCGAGGAAGTACAAACCATATTGTAGCTTTAAGCAAGTGCGAAAGGCTCATAGTGTTGGCTACTTGCATCAAGCTGGAGCCTTTGGTTCTCCCTCACAGGTGGAGCCCACGTGCCCCTTCTTCCTCCCGTTTTATTTTGTGTAATGCTCGCGTTCTGCCTCGAGGTGTCTGTATTAGATTGTGGTTTGATTTTCTGCTTTGTAGTCAAGGCTAGCTGGGCCATTACGGAGTGATCTGCCTTATTTGCTCTTACAGCCCAAAAATGGAGTACAAGCAGCGCTATTCACAGAGGCAATTCTGAGACAAGGAGTTTATGCAGAATTTTGACACAGCAGAGCACCGGAGAAAGAAAGGTGGGCAACAAACAGAGCAGGCAAGATGACAAAGAGGAAAGGCCCCGACTTCCGCATCCATCTTGTTTTTAAAGCACAGTTGGAGGGGAAGAAAAGGGGGTGGGGGTACAGCCTAGAAGACAAAGACAACAATAGGACAGAAAGGAATGGAAATGCTGTTCAAGCTGAAAAAGCCGACAGCCGCTCTGTAGGTGCATGGAAGAATTCTTTATGAGCCCCACGTGTTAAGTAGATAAATAAGTTGCCCTATATGATTCAGACTGAGTGGGCACATGATCTACATCAGGAGCCTGTCTGACCTCTATAGCCTGGCCAGTTCTTTTGGGCTCCAGGCAGCATTAGCCATGGGGATGCTGGAACTTGCCGTCCTTTCTCCAGCACACAAAGTTGTCTGTTTCCCCTCCAAGACTGTAAAACAGAGAAATCTCTTAAGTGGAGTTGCAGGAGGTTTGCCTGCTCTGTCTGTTTCCCCTTAGACACAGTGGTTCCCAACCTTGGGTCCCCCAGAGGTCCTTGGACTACAACTCCCAGAATCCTTTGCCACCAGCTGTGCTGGCCAGGATTTCTGGGAGTCGAAGCCCAAGAACATCTGGGGACCCAAGTTTGGGAACCACTGCTTAAAGGACTTAAATCTCTATAGAGGGGAAGATTATGAGGAGCACCTTGTTCATGACCATACATAGGAATAGTAAAAATAATATGCAAGTGGAGAAAAGGCTGGACTACACTGGTTTGTGCTGGCCAGGATTTCTGGGAGTCGAAGCCCAAGAACATCCCCACAAAACGGGGGTGGAAAGTATGTGCGTCTTATGGAGCGAAGAAAACAGATTATATTTTCCTGCTTTCTTCTAAAAAATTGGTGCATCTTATGGAAAGGTGTGTCTTATGGAGCGAAAAATACGGTATATTGTGCAATCTTATGGAGCGAAAAATACGGTAGGTATATTGTGCAGAGAACAGGGTGTCCACTTTCTTAACCAATTGTGCTGCTCAAGCATGGCTGTTGGATGACCTTACACTCTCCAGACCGTGGATCCAACACACTAAGTGTTAGTCTCTTAAGGTCCAATGACTTCCAGCGCCTCTTCCCCTCCTATGTGGGAGCCATCCATTTCTGGTGATTTCAGAAAAGTGCTCAGGAGACGTCCACCAAACTGCAGCTTGACTTTGACAGAAGCTGGGGCTCAGAGCAAGCAGCCCAGCTGAAAGACAGGGGTTCTGCTGAGGGTTCAAGGACAGGATGACTTCAGCGGGTTGGGTGGCAAAACTACAGCTCTCCGCATGACAACTCCTGTCATTCCTTTTTACTGGCCATCATGAACAATAACAGGCTCTCCATGGCTATTCAAGGGACCATTTCTGTTGGACGTGGAAATTCATTCAGTTTTATCATTCCTGGGGAGAAAGCCAAGCTATATCTGCCCCTGCATAACTAGCTGGAAGTTCTAGAAAGAGTCAGACTAGAACGTAAGGGAGATTTGCAATTCCTAGTTTTAACCTTCCAATGGCATCTCCTCGGAAATCATGCCTATGCAATCACACATACAGATTAAAGCCATGTTTGCTTTCCCTTGAGTGGAAAAACCGTTTTCCCAAAGTCCAATGGTTTACTATCCATTAAAGAACCAAGCACATTCCCTTGAGTGGAAAAACCGTTTTCCCAACGTCCAATGGTTTACTATCCATTTTTACTATCCATTAAAGAACCAAGCACGCTAAAAGCAAAATGTGGAGGTGAGGGAAAACACATGCTAAGACAAACATACCTCCTTCACTGCTTGTTGGAGCATCTGTTCTAGAAAATGTGCTAAGCATTATGAACAGTATCACATTAAGTGCAGAGGGACAACCCTGTAGGTATTCCCTGTTGCACAACTGACAGTGCAGCCCATCTCACAATCGGGGTTGACACAAAGGAGGCCCTGTCAGAGCCAGGGGAATAGTTATCCGATCACCTTTCCATGACAAGATGCTGGTCTATGATCTACTTTGACTCTTGAGCTCCAATGAATTTCCTCCGAAACAACAAGGTGCAAATCTGAGTCTATCGGTTGTCCTCCTGTTTTTCATTCGCTCCCCTCTTCAAGGACCCCATAACCACAAGCAACAGCTTGCAACAGCAGCATTTTGGATGAGGATACACAAGCGGGAATGTGGGAGATGTCGGGTTGAGATTCTACAGCCGGGTGAGAAGGTGGCAGGAGGTCCATGCAATGGTGGTCTGAGGCACTGATGCCTCTCCATCTGAAAAGCTCAATGGCATGGGTGGGGGGTGGGAGGTGCATGGATGATTGGGAAAGCTTTCTCCTCCCTCGCAGGCTAAACCTCGGCGAGACTTACCTGTGCTTAAAGAGGGGAGACACCGGGAAGGGGTGGGGATAAAGCAGAACAAGACCTGCCGCGCGTCGGCAGCCGCTTCAGCATTTGGCATGACATGCAGCATCGGCGTAAAGGAAGGGGCTCATCGGACGAGGGGAAGCAGATTTTTCAGGCGGCGAAAAAAGGGACAAAGAAGGGTTGAGGCATACCGTATCGATAGTCAGAAGCCACGGTACGTTGCCGGCACCATTTCCTGTGTCTGCCACCGCCGCGATAATACACTTCTTCTTTAAAGGGGGAAAGGTTTCCCTCACTACCTGACCGAGACCACACGCCTTCACTGTTACTTTCCATTGTAATTTCTACGGAGAAAAACGGAAGGGTCTAATTAAGCACAATGGCGAGGCTGGTCTTTGTGGAGGCGGCTGAAGGACAAGGACCAGAACTTGAGAAAGGTCTTCCTCCCAGACTACGGCTCCCAGGCTGAGTTGGGAATTCTGGGCATTCTCGCCCGAAAGGGGAAAAAGAGGCTCTCTCTCCATCTTGGGTGGCTTGAGTTTGCTCGCTTAGATAAGACACACTCTTGGCATCCATCTCAAGAGTTTCACGCCTGCAGGGGGAAGACTACATTTTGTGCCCTGGTGGGATGACCCTCTAGGTCTGACCCACCTCAGGTCCCCACCTATCCTTGGATGAAAACTCCCAGGAGCTACTGATTAAGAGTCATGGACAGAAATGAATGAATCGGCCATTTCCTCCCCCCTCCTTTCTCCCATCTTTCTTGTTCACTCTCGATCGCCTTCCGTCCCTTTTAGGAAATGTGAGCAAATTACTAAAATATGTATAGGAAAGAAACAACAACAACAAAAACTCAACCCTCTTGAATTCAACACAGCCTTACGGAGAGGATGGCATTGCGTCTGCTGTCCCTAGAGCGGTAAGCCATAAGGAGCCGTTCAGGGAAAGGGGAAGAGGTGAGATTCCTCTTATGTGACTACAAACAGAGTCTGAATAAGCAGGGATTCAAAGAGAGGTTTGGGGCCAAACTATAGGTTACAATGAGTCAAAGGTTAAGCACCGAAAAAGTCCAGTAGGCAAAGCACAAGCTTTTCATATCTGCCAGTTAGATTGTTTTGCTTGGTCATCGGCCACTGGGAGGGGAGTACGGGCTTTGTCTGCAAGTATGTGCCTACACAGATGAAGGTCTGCCGGAATCACGTCTCTCCAACACTCAATACAACTTTGAGTTACTGATTAAAGCTGCCTGTATTATGCAAAGCTGTAGCCTATAGTCTGGCCCTTTGAGGAGCTGAGGTAGTCCATCAACACTTACATAAAGCACATTGATTGAATAGGACTATCCCTTTGGGAGCCTATGAGTTCAGCTTTTGGGGTCTTCTTCCCCACCCCCACCCCCTGTGAAATCCCTGGCTATCCTTTGGAACTCTTGATTAAACTCCCAGGTAAGTGAGGAATACATGAGGAAATGCAATGTGCTGATGACAATGAGTGGAATGAAGGGCGAGTCACTGGATGAATCAATGGACGGGGTGAATGCAAAACAGTTACAATTGGTTCCAGTAACAAGCACATCTACACAACAGTCCCATATTCGTTGAAGTGCCCTTGCTCCTTCCAAAAAACGCTGGAAATTGTATGAACCAAGGAGTTATGCAAAGGCCCCTCAGACTTTCCATCACACTATTTTAAAAGTAAATGTACTGTCTCTTCATTCAGCCCTAGACATGGAGTGGGGAATCTACTGGTCGTTTTTGGCCTCTCTCTGGTTTCCTGTGTTTAATTCACGTCATTCTGAACGTTGAGATTTATTTATTTTTTTCCTAATTTGGGTTCACTTAATCCTGAAGGTTGAGACTTTTAAAAGAAGTTTTCAAGGGAATAGGTATTGCGCCCATTTTGCCAAATCAATGCATTTTGGCACACAAAATGCATTTCCCAAGCAAACTGGGCTTGGGAGAATCATGTATATTATGTTTTCCCCCGATATTTGCCTTCTCCTAGGTCTTCTTGGGCTTAATACTGCAGCATTTGGAGAAGTATGAAGTATGAATCATACCTCTGCCTTGTCATTCTGCCTTGGGAGTATGGTTACATTTCCCAAGGGTTCTTTAACGGCAATCCTAACCAAGTTTCAAGGCGTTCCACCAGCACAGGCAATAGAACCACATCAGTAGCTGTTTTTCAGCCTTTTCTATGTCCACCAAAGTACATAAAACTAGTTGTGATCAAGCGAGGGATAAGAGCGAATCGATGGCTTGGACAACTTAGTGCAACCCACATTCAGGTGGTCACCTCCAGTTCCACAGTGTTCACCTGCTGTGTTGCAGTTTGCCAATCCATTATTTGGAAATCAAGGTCACGGAGACGGCGTTGCTCACTCTAGATGATGACCGTTTGAGGGAGGACCAACGGGGGCAAAAATGTCCTCGCTGGTCCTCCTCGAGCTCTCAGCGGCCTTCGATACCGTCAGCCATGGTATCCTCCTGGGGAGGCTTCTCTAGATTGGGGATCGGTGGCCTGGCTTTATCCTGGCTCTGGTCTTTACTAGAGGACCGCCCTCAGAGAGTGCAGCTTGTGGAGATCACGTCCACCCCTTGGACTCTCAGCTGTGGACTCCCACGGAGGTTGATCATCTCCCCAACGTTGTTGAATATCTACAGGAGGCTGCCAGGAGAGGTCATCGGGAGTTTTGGAGCTTCGGGTCCCCAATACGCAGATGACATCCGGCTCTAGCTCTCCTTCCACGTTTCAGCAGAAGATGCTGTCCTGTGCTGGGTGTGTGCGCGCGGGGGGGATAATGGAGGGAGGCGGAACCCAGGCAAGATGGAAGTCCTGTTGGTGGAGAGCCCTAGTGTCTGTGGACTTTTCATATCTGCCAGTTAGATTGTTTCGCTTGGTGATCGGCCACTGGGAGGGGAGCACAGGCTTTGTCTGCAAGTATGTGCCTACACAGATGAAGGTCTGCCGGAATCACGTCTCTCCAACACTCAATACAACTTTGAGTTACTGATTAAAGCTGCCTGTATTATGCAAAGCTGTAGCCTATAGTCTGGGGACCTCTTTCTCTTTTGGAGAGGGGGAGCTACTCTCTCTGCTAAAAATGAGGTTCACAGCCTGGGCGTACTTTTGGACCCAGCACTATCAACGTTTGTTTCTGTGCCAGCTTCAAGAGGATGATGCTGACATACAAAGCCCTAAACAGTTTGGGACCTCGATACCTGGCGGAACGCCTCTTTCCAATGAGCGTTGCCTGTCCGCTTCACTGGAAATTTTTTTAACGGTCCTCTTCAGACTGGCTTTCCTGGAGCTTATAATTTCATAACACTGTGGTTGCCTCGGCGTTCATATTATCGGTTCTGCAACCTTGCATTTAAACCACCTTTAATGTTTTTTTCAGTGAATTTTATGTCGTTTAGTGTGTGTGTCCTGAAGTTAATTTTGATTTGCTTTAGCTATTACGTTTGTTGATGTTTACAGTTTTTTTAAAAATTGCTATCTTTTACATGATTATGTTGTAACACCGCCCAGAGTTGGCCTCGGCAGCCGGATGGGCAGTGTAAAAGTCAAATCGATAAATAAAATCAATCGAAACGCAGGACCTAGCAAGCTGGTTTGGCACGACTCCATGGGAAACGGACCCCTTCGAACCAAAATGAAAGCTTTCGTAAAACTGGAGGTGCACAGAGACCGTCCTAAACATTGTATCTCTTTTTTGGCTCCTCCCTCAGAATAAACAAGGTCCATTTTGGGAGGGGACACGCTGCTCCTGTCCTTCAGAACGCAAACAGGCAAGTGAGAGGAACAATGCATTTCGATGCCCCCACACATGAATGTACATGCGAGCACACAGGGAGGAAACATCTTTCATAACCTGACGTGGTTTCATGGCAAGGGGAATCAGGGCACAGGGGAGTCGTCAAGCGAGGTCTCTCTTCCATTGATGGCAAGCCCCAAGAGGATGTGAGCATCTGGCCTTTTTGTGAAGGTGCCCATCAAACGGTGCCTTTCTAACACTGCATGTGCCAGTTTGATGGTGTGTGTTTTTCTGGACGTTGAGTTATGGCCACTGGACTTCTTCCTTGTTAGGTTGAAACGTTTCGCTACTCATCCAGGTCATTTCCTTCAGTCCAAAACCTTCCACATTGGTTTCACTTCTGATCTGAATACTCCAAAACCTTCCACATTGGTTTCACTTCCTTCTGATCTGAATAGGCTCCTATCAACTCTCCTCAGACTGAAGGAAGCACTCCTACCAACTCTCCTCAGACTGAAGGAAGCAGCCTGGATGAGTAGCGAAACATTTCAACCTGATAAGAAAGAAGTCCAGTGGTCATGACTCAACTTCCAAATAACCCCACCTGGATGACTGAGCATCTCCACAGATCGACAGTTGTTATTAAGCCTCTTCTAAATCTCTCCGATGTAAACCAGACATAAACAGCTTAGCCTCCTTTGGCTGAAGTCCAGTGGCCAGCCACAACTGGAGTAGACCCATTGAATCAGTGGGGATTTCAGGAGACAACCCCCCCCTGCCAGTTCCATTAATTTCCTGGGCCTACTCTAGTTGGGACTGACGTCTTGAAACGGCTTTCCTTTGACGAACCACTTTGCCTTTCCATCCGCCAACCCATCCAACTGAACCCCCACCTCTGTGGTCCCGAGCAAGCAAGGAACATTCATCTACTCATTGGGCCAAACTAACCGATAGACGGGACCGACATGGGGCGTGACCGTTGCGGTCCTGCACTGCCGTGAGAGATCCTTCGCCCTGGGTGTTCCATCCTGTCCGTCCGTCCGGAGGCTGCAGGGTTACCTAACAGCTGGAGACCCGAACCAACAAGCAAACAAATAAACAAACAAACAAAAAGGAGGGGAAGGGGGAGACACAAAAGTTGAGAAAGTTAGACATCGGCACACTCTGAGAGGGGTTGGCTCGAGGGAAGGGGGGTGTAGGGGCGTGGAGTCAACAGAAAAATCAAGTCAATCATTCATCAAAAGCATAAGATCTAAAGGCAACTAAACTTTGTTTTTAACTGAAAGGTTAGCTGACGCCACTAAACCTGGAGAAGGGAAACGGAAGGAAAAGAGAGAGAGAAATGGCCGGCCCCATGTGGTACGTTCTTTGAGAACAATAAGTCAACATATTGGAATAGGTAACAAAAGAGAGCTTTAAGACATCCTTTTGCCTTTGTCGTTGCCACTAAACCAGCTTCTGGTCCTTTTCATTCCTCCCCAAAGAGGATGCACACAGAGATCTTCCCCAGAACGGTGGATTCTGTCTCTGTGTCTTATTTCGCTCCAATTCGGACATTGCCGCACCTGCAGTAGTGCTGGGTCTCCTGCCTGTAGCCGCCCAACACAGGCTTTAAAAAAAAAAGTCATTAAGACTTCTAGAAAAGGACTCCAAAGGCCTTCTTAGGGTTTATTTTTATCCCTCTTTCTGTGCTCACTCCTGATTAGAGCTTCACAGCCAGCCTGCCCACTGGAGAGCAGGAGAGAGGAGGAGGTGGGTAGTTGCTTCTTTTTATGGACGGTTTTTTATTTAAAAAAGAGAGAGAGAGAGGGTGTGAGAGAGACGGACTGAAGAAGGAATCCACTGGGAATAAATGACTGGCTTTGTTCCTGCCGAGGCACGACGGTGGCTCGCGGCACAGAGAGGAACATCTCCGTTCTTGTGGGTTGTCGTCCTAAAGGGTGAACAAACCGTTCTCGGCGTGCTGGGAGGAAGGGGTTTTAGGAAAGGTCTTACGGATGCATTGGGGAAAGACAGCTCGGCCTCCCGGTGGAGTTCATCCCGGCACGGAGTTAACAGCCTCTCCCGTGGATGTACCGTGGACGAGGGAGAGATCGGGCGTCGGTAAAAGCGGAGGGACGGGCGAAAGGGGAATTTTCCCTGCATGCCAAGATGCAGTCTGCAACTTCAAAGGCAAGAAGAGATGATTTCTTTTTCTATTTTAAAAGAGAAACTTAATAAAGAGAAAGGAGAGAGAAAGAACAGATGCAAAAATAAAATAAAAATAAAAGTTGAAGGATATGAAATACAAGGGAATGGGTGATTCTGAAATCCTGAGTCGCTGTTGCTACAGGACGGGGTGGGGTGGGGAGGGAAGGGAGAGAGGAAATTTGCGTGCGGTACTTGCCCAGAGATAAGAATTGACGCGAAAGAGAATTCTTCCTTGAAAACTGGGGAGCCAGGGAAGCAAACACAACAGGAATAAGGTGGAATAGTTAAAGCAGACCTTAAATAAATAGGGTAGAAATAAAGATAATAATGTTGCTGCGGCTGTTGCTGCTCTTGCTGGTGGTGCAATTCCCCAGTTGTAAACTATAAAGTCTCTTTAACGGGAGTACACTGCAAACCAAACCATCAAAACAAAGAAATAATAAATAAATAAATGAATAAATAAATTAACGAAATCAAGGAAAAGGAAAAAAAGAAATACAAATCAAACAAAGGACAGCCCCGAATGTCAGGAAAATGGTAGTTCAGCTAACCCTTAATTAAAATTTAGTTTCAGTTGTCCTTTCAAAGAAAGAAGGGATGGGGAGGGGAGGAAAAGCCAAGTTTATTTACAGATTTATTCATTGCCTGCGGGGAATGAAAGAATAATTTTCGGAAAGCAAATTAATCCCATTTTAGTATGGCACCAAAGATGTTAAATTTGGGGGGAGAGGGGAAAGAAATTAATATGGCGGTATTAAGAAGCCTGTGAAGATTAATAAAGCAATTATAAGTATGTGGGGAAAGAAAATGAAGAATGGGGGGGGGAGAGAGAGCAGAGAGGCATGCTAAGAATGGATGGATTTAAGGAAAAGAAATGAAGGAGGAGGAGAGAAGATAGAAAGAGGAAGAAGAAATAAAAGAATAGGTTGATTTGGCAGGCAGATGTTAAAAGTAGCTTTCATTTCAACACACCAGAGAGTCTTTATGGTTTCTGCCGGAAGGCCTGGAATGTGGTACAGAAGTTGCCCTAAAGTCACTCCTTTTTAAGGAGCCGCTCCAGCCTCCCTGAAAATCTTCACGAGTCAAATTATCTGCTCTAGGAAACCTCTGAGGTTCGTACTTCCTCTCGTAATACGCCGGCGTGTATTCCTCGCCTCGGGGTTCTGGGAAGGCAGGAACGGGGTCCCCAAAGTCTTCCTCGACGCTGCTCTGCCGCGTCAGCGTCCTGCGGCGCTCCAGCAACGGCCGGGGGGTCTTTCGGCACGGACAGCTCCCACCCTCGGGGCAACTGCCAGGCGCGGCGTGGGGGTCGTAAGCGCCGCGGAAGCTAAAGCGCGACTCTTCTTCCTCGCTCCCACAATCCAGGCCACTGTCCGGGCTCCAGGTGGAACATCTGCTGAATTTGTAGGCTCGGTCTTCCGAGTCCTCCAGGATCCGTTGCTTTGCCGGGTGGCAGAAGGCGGGCCGCTGATCTTGAGGGTCGTGGGCCCTGGACGGTCTGCTCTCTCTCGTTACCGGGCTTCTCGTTTTGTAGGCTTTCCCTAAACCCTGCTTGTGCAAAAGTTCTGTAAAATCCCCATCCTCTTCGGCGACTTCAGGGATACTGAAAAGCCTTTTGCTGTGATGGACGTGTTGGGCCAAATCGGGCCGTTCCCCAAAATTTGCTTCGGTCGTCTTAGTCCTACAACATTCCTTTAAGCCAGTGGGATTTTTTTTTGGGGGGGGGGTCGGTTTGTTTTTTTAGTTTTAGTTTGTTTATCGGTTTGTTTGTCACAAAAAAGAGGAAAGAATCAAAAGAAGAGGCAAGAGGGGGGACCCAGAGTGTGCAATCAAAACAAAACGAGGAAGGGGTAGGAAAAGGAAGGGAGAAAAAAAAATAAAGACAGAATTAGTTTTAGAGCAATGGCGAACAGAACGCATGCAGCTTTTTTTTTTTTTTAATTCAGTGTGGAAAGATGTCATGCTTTGAATGGCAATCTGTGGAAAATAAAAGACATGATTAGGAAGCTGGCCAGTGTCGCAAACAATACAAGGGTGTCAGTACAGAAGGACCCAAGTCAACCAGCCCGTCAGCCAGGACCAAACCCAGGCACTTGAAATGAGGTAAATTGTGCTGGACAGGCGGTGTATTTGGGAGGACCCCGGGGGCGGGGGGGTGTTGCCTAGTGCACGGCGTTCCCTCTTTCTTCTCTGCAGTTCTGGGGGTGCCCCTCCCAATGGGCCACTGGCTGAGTGCAAATTCCCCTCCCCGATAAATTAAGAGGAAAGTGAGACAATGATCGGAAACCCACCGGCGTGTCTTTCCGCGCTGGGCAGCACCTCCGTGCTCCATCAAGGACATGGGGAAACGGAAAAGGAATATTCCGATAGGAACGGGAGCCATCCTACTCTTTGGCCACACACCTGTCCTCTAGGCATTGGCGCACTCGGTCAACGTGGGCGTGGAATCCTGATACGTACCCAAAGCTATCGAAAGTACTCTTGGAAATACAAAAGAGTCAGCACCATGGAGAGCTCCAGGACGGACCGGGCGTGGACTTCTAGGCCGTGTTGCTCTGATTCTATGGACTTTTCTGGGAAATAGGCATGTTGGGAACCTTTGGAATAGGTTTTTGAGGTTGCATAGTACTGTATGCAGAATTTGGGGTTATCATTGGGACAACTCTGGCCCTTTGGAATAGGTTTTTGAGGTTGCATAGCATTGTATGCAGAACTTGGGGTTGTCACAGGGACAACTCTGGTGGTGGTGGTGGTTACGTAGTAGTAGTAGTAGTAGTAGTAGTAGTAGTAGTAGTAGTAGTAGTAGTAGTAGTAGTAGTAGTAGTAGTAGTAGTAGTAGTAGTAGTAGTAGTAGTAGTGGTGGTGGTAGTAGTAGTGGTAGTAATAGTAACAGTAATAGTAATAGTAATAGTAGTAAAAATAATAGTAATAGTAATAGTAGTAAAATACCAGGCAGAGTCAATCAAATTATAAAAACATTGACTGCCATTACATAACAGGTACAAGATTTAACCAAAAACCTAAGTTTCTCTTAAATATTGGCGTAGTATCTATGCTGTTCCTAATATTGGTGTTTTTTTTTAAAAAAAATCTCATGATGTTATTTCTGAAATCCGCAACCGCTGAGAATACTGTGTGAAATTTCATGATATTGTTCCCAAAGCCCCGATGACAATGGGGAGCATTGAGGTGTGTTTCTCATCCACAAGCAAGATGTTTCGATTGCCAGATTATGATTATTATGATTATGATTATTCATAGTAGTAGTAAATACCAACCAATCAATCAAAATTATAAAAATATTGACTGGTATTATATCAAAGATCCAAGTTTTAACCCAAAACCTAAGTATCTGTTAAATATTGACGTGCAAGTGGTGCTTCGCTTGATGACGTTAATTCGTTCCAGCGAAATCACTGTACAGCAAAAATGTCGTCAAGCGAAATTAAAAAACCCACTGAAATGCATTGAAAACTGTCCAATGCATTCCAATGGGCGAAATACCTGCTCGTCCAGTGAAGATCCTCCATTTTCTGGTGCCTGTAATGCGAGGAATCTGTCCCTAACACAGCGGGGAGCCATTATCTACAGCTGGCGGCCATTTTTCTGTCCTCTGAAGATGCCGGCCACAGAGACTGGCAAAACGTTAGGAAGAACAACCTTCAGAACACGGCCAAAGAGCCCGAAAAACCCACAACAACCATTAGATCCCGGACGTGAAAGCCTTCACGAATACATATAAGACACACTTAGGTTTTGGGTTAAAACTATTTATTATCATCATTATCNTCTGAAGAGGCGAGTCCAGGAGACATTGGGAAAGGTCAGGTCAACTCTCCACTGACCCCCGCCTGGATGAGAAGTCTCTCACCGTCTCCTCTCTGGCACAGAGGGGCGCCCTGTCTTGCCGCTGCTTTTTTACCTTGAGTGTGTTATGCGACGTGACACTGATTCGCCTCCTCCCGCCGTCCTCAAGCTGCATCTCGGAGTACAGTTCTTCTTCGTCTTCTTCCATGATGTCTGAGAGGTCAGAGCCCCGGCTGCTTTCGGTATGATACTCTTCCCCATGGCCGTATTGGGGCTGTTAGGGGAGGGGAAAGGAGCATTGGGCGCAAACAAAGGAAAACGGACCTTCAAAATCAAAATCAAGGCCAGTCTCGGAAGGGCGAGGTGGGGAAGCTATCCACAACCTCAGCATCGCTCTTGCCAACTTTCTTCACACACCCTACAGTGTCTGCGGTAGACCACACCTTCCTCAGCATCTCGGATCTTGCGGTTGCTTTTTCAGAAGCGAACAAACAAGCAAAGAAACCAAGACAGTTCTCTGTGTTAACACCGACAATGCATGCTCAGAGTACTAGCAAACGTCTGTTACCTGCTTCCCAAGCTCGGAGCCTTTCAAGAAATCGTCGACTGAAGCCCCTTTCCTTTTGAGCCGAGGCGAATCGTAGCCGTCCTCCTCTTCGTCGGAATTGGCGTAATGCAGAGCGTTGCTTCGTTCGGCGAACACGCTCCTCCGCTCCATCTGCCGAATCAAGAACAGGAAGGCGATGAGGGGAAAAAACAAACAAACCTCTGCTCCTTGACTCGGGAATGGTCCATTCCGACGTGCCCTCCCTACCTCCCTTCTTGCAACCTCTGTTGTACGCGACTCACTCTGTTGCTCTCCGCCGCCACCCGTTGAGCTGCTTCCCTGGCCATGGCCTTCGCGACATTGTTGGGAACGGGCATGCCTTGCGGTTGTGGGAGTATCCTGTTGGGCGAAGGCGACCTTCTCCCTTGGAAGTTGGGCGGCTCCAGGGTGTGTCCGTGGACAGGAGACAGCGCCGTGCGGGGCTGCTCCCAATGCTCATCCCTTCTGACGTGTGGGCATAAGTGTTCCTCTTTGGTATCGGAGAGGCCGGCACTTGGTAATGGCTTAGATTTGGGAGCTGGCCTGGGGTGTGAGGTCGGAGGCACCAGGAGTTCGTGTGGAATGGCGGCGCTCAAGGAATCGACGGATTCTCCTTGGGCGGAAAGCGTCCGGACGAGAACTTCCTTCGCTTCCAGATTCCGGAGTCTCGGGAGCTCCACAACCGCATTCTCCGCCGTGGGAAATGTCGCTTCGGCCACCTGAACGTGCAGAAATGACAGATCGGATGAGAACAAGCAGGTTCCCCCCCAACACCCCAAAGAAAATTCAGAGCAGAATTCGAAACGGGACTTGGAACAACAATAACTCCCATCATTCCTCCAACCTACATAGTGGCTGGCTGGGGATTCTGGGAACTGGATGCTAGCTTGGAGCTTCTGGCCATTGCCTTTTTTTAAAAAGTAGATTTCCTGAGTTCTGGCCTAATTGTAATTAGAGACTCTGTTTGTCTAATTGTTTGTTTCATACGTTTGTAGACTGCTCAAGTTAGGGAAACACGCACTATTCCGGACAGTTAACAATAACAGTAACCCACCCTTTGATCTCCGGGTACAAAACATCCTGGAACAGAATAAACAATCAAACTAAAAAAAAGTGTGGGTTTTTTTAAATTAAAAAAATTGAAAACCTAAGAAATATCCCAAAACACTAATAATGGCAGTAAGAATAAAGTTAACCCAAATCCCACTAGGACCTAACAGAAGGATGCCTCCTTTTCAAGCTATCATTCTGAGCTTCATTTGAAACAGAGTCAAGGAAGGGGCCTGGCAGGTCTCCAGTGGGACCTTTTCCCACAGAAACAGGGCCCACAACCGAGGGGGGGCCCTTGGTTTATGGTTGACACCTTCCAAGCTTCTCTGGACGAGAAAACAAAACAACAACAACAACAAAAATAAGGCTTAAGAAGACCGGAAAGGATGAGCAGAAAATTCTTAGGGGGAGACATTCCAACCGGTAATGACCATGAAGGGCTTTTTCATCAGTCGCAAAAAAAAGGAGTGTCGCTTTCGTTGCTCCTGTGGCTGCTTGCTTGTTTGCTCAGAGGGGACCAAAGGATCGGGCAACAAGGAAGAGGGAAGCCTTAAAAGCAAAAAAAAATTACACCGTAGTGCCTCTTGCTTCTGGCGAGTCAACGGAGGGGCAAACCTACCTTTTGACCTTTTGCATAAACGCCATAGCCGGTCACGGTGGCTCCGCTGGATGTTCCCGTCGCTGTGAGCGTTGGTGGCTTCCATGAAACTACAATGGTTCCCGGCGTGGGCCCAGCCTGGATTCTGATATCTTGAGGGGGAGCTGGTGGACCTAGGATTGCAAACAAGCTTCGGTTATCACCAGCCCATCCCTTCCTTTGGTCTCACGTCTGAAATCTCCTACTGTAATCTCCTTACTGTAATCACCACACTGGTTAGACCTCATCTAGAATACTGTGTCTAGTTAGGGACACCAAAGTTTAAGAAGGATGCCAACAAACTGGAGCAATTTCAGAGAAAGGCAAAAAGGATGATTAGGGGTCTGGAAACCAAGCCCTGTGTGGAAAGACTGAAAGAACTGGGCATGTTTAGCCTGGAGAAAAGAAGACTGAGGGGGGAGAGAGAGATAGCACTATACAGACTGTCATACAGAGGAAGGGGCAGGTCTGTTCTCAATCATCTCAGAGTGCAGGATATGAAATAACGGGCTCAAGCTATAGGAAGTCAGATTTCTGGGAGCTTTCATCCCAAAGGTCCTTATCCTCCCTTCCATATACAGTGGTGCCTCACTAGACAGTTACCCCGCACAACAGTTTTTTCACTAGACATTGACTTTTTGCAATCGCTATAGC